ACTGTCCCGCACGTAAGTTCTTGATGTGGGTTTTTGGAAGTTTCGCTTGGTTATCCCGATCGAATTTGTGTGAGTTTCCGGAGTTTTATAGAGTTTTATCGAGTTTGTTGGAAAATTTGATATTTGTGCGAACTAAACCCGAATCCTGCCAGGCGAAATTTCACGTCACGTCGCACGTGTAACTTAACCTCTAAAAATTACACGTAACGTGAGATTTGCACCGCGTTTTGAAAAAGGGCAAAAAACGTGTAACTTAACCTCTCTACTATGGTCTTACTGGTCGGACTGTGTGCGACGCCCCTGATGTAGGTGTGATGTATCAGTGATATGAAACTGATGCATCGCCTCAGTGGGGAACGTGAATGTTGCCGATTGCCATGCCCCTGTTGTGTTTACGTTTGTTCCGTTCAGGCTACTACCTCATCTGCTGGTTAGTGTACTGGACGGCAGCTGGCTACGGTTATTTGATCTCCATCATCGTACCGCCGAGCATGGCGCAGCTGTTTGCCGTGCTCTCCGTTCTCTTCAACATGATGTTCTCCGGCGCGCTGCCACGCTTCGAGCAGCTGCAGAAGATCCTGGGTGGCGTGCTGATGTACCCGACGTACATCTCATACATTCGCTGGTCGCAGGAGGCCTTCTACTTGCATGAGATTGCTAAATACAAGGACATCTACCACAGTAAGCCACTTGTATTTATGTATGTATATTTTTATTTGAATTCGCAAGTACACACGGGCTACAAGCCCAATTACATGGAAGCGAATGCCATAATGAGGCCCATTAAGAAAAGAAAAAAAGGTGGAGGAAGGAGGAGGACGGTAGCAAAGCAACAGGGAGGACAATTCAGGACCAAAATCAACAATTGCACAAATGTGAGAGCACCTGAGACCGGGGGTACCTGTGGAGCGATAAAATGCCAAGCAAACAGAAGAAAGGGAATCACAAGCCAATACACGCTAAACTGCACTTGAGTTAGAATGAAGGGGAAAACCGGAGCTCAACAAAATTATAACGTACAAAGTCATAATAAGAAGTCAACTGGATGAGAAGTAGCACAAGCAAACATTTCCTGACAACGAGAGGGGCTGTAACTACAGCCACAGCAGTAGCTGCTGTAACAGCAGCAGCAGCAGCAGCAGCAGCAACAACAACAACAACAACAACAACAACAACAACAACAACAACAACAACAACAACAACAACAACAACAACAACAACAACACTATCAACAACAACAACAACAACAACAACAACAACAACAACAACAACAACAACAACAACAACAACAACAACAACAACAACAACAACAACAACAACAACAACAACATTTGATGTAACCCATCGGTGTGACAGCTTCATCTTTTTGGTTTATAGCAGTGTGGAGCCGCCTTTGCCTTTACGTGATCACGAAGCCGAATACCGGTTTCAGTAACTACATCAGTTCTATTCACACAATATTGCGTTACTTGTGCTACTTTAGGCGGCATTACTAGTTGCTGCAGGCCTGCTTCATTGTGCAGCCAGGTAAGAGTAAAAACAACTGTTATTATCAATTGCTGCAGATTTCGAGGCTGAAATGGAGATGGCTATGAATACAACAAGACAGGGCTTCTGCAGGCATCATACTTATGTAACAAGTGCTGTTTTATTCTCTCCTGTATAATCTGCAGATGTCGAGGCTGGGATGGAAATCTACCAGTACAAGTTCTCTCATCAGTCTTTGGACTTGGGCATGATATTCGTTCTTGGTGTCATCGTGCGCATCATAGCCTACTTAGCCCTGGAGTTGATGTACCGCGGCAAGAGAAAGTAAGGTGTTCCTCTGCAGCGGAGCAAACTGAGACCAAAGCCAGCCACAATTTGAATTAACTGTGCATAGCCTAGGCCTGCTATGCCATGATTGCTGCTGGGTTCATCAAGTTTTTTTTTTACGTTGCAAGCCACCGGCGGTGACTGGTATTGTTTTTATCATTGAAATGCAGAGTACGACTGAACATAGTAGACGGTTTCCAGAATTCATGTGCCGGAGATGGCCCTGAGTGATCTATCCAACAACCGTACTGTTGTCGCTTGGCAACTTCTAACCAAATGGGAGTCGTTGAGTGTCAGCCTCGCTAACATTTCCTTCACATCATATCCCTGGAAGTGTAACTATTTTCCAAGTGACTGAAGAAATAATTTCAAGTAGTATGACTGTTTCGTGTTTGCCTTTGCTAGTTCTATAGCGGTTGAAACTGCGGCCTGTATCTATGACTGAATTTACAAATGGAACATATCTTATCAGATGACTTTTCTTTGTTGAAAGTGACTGCTCAGTCTTTATCATATGGCATTCAACCATTTTTCCTCTCCCTATTTTTGCAAACAACCGCAGATGCGCCGGCAAGAGTTTCACACGATTATAATTACGACATATTTCATGGCTTTTCACATTGTGATTTTGCTATAAGGACCTTTCATGGCTTCTACCATTCTTTTTCCAGCCCTTATTTACAGAATTTTACTAATAGTAATTGCCAAGGCTCAGAGTTCAGTCTTGAAATGCACTGAGGTGCACATTCTGTATGACTCCGGCAGTGGGTGTATCTATTTATACATTGGACATACTCAATCTGCATTTATACATTGGACGATTGGACTTATGCTATTGGTCGCAGGTTTCCCGAATGATTATCACGAATACTGGTATTTTCAAAAACAGAAGCGATTTTGAAATCATAGCCAGTCATTGTCCAGGGCAGTCCAAGACAGCGCCCCCCCCCCCTCCCCGGCCCCGGGCCAGACTCTACTACAGTCCATTTCTAAACTATAGACGCGTACCTAGGCAAAAACCGTTATGCCAGCATTTATACCACATAAAATCTGTGATCACTTTGTGCATAATTTTTTCCAAATTGGGCGTCTGTTACCCAATCTTATAGAAACTATATGAGAGTAATTGTGGAGCGATCCTGAGCAATATTCCGAAAACTATTCTCAAAAAGTTCCAGCCAAATTTGAAATATTTCAAAAACCCTACGCGTCTATAGTTTTGAAATGCACTGTAGTACTGCAAGCCACTCCTGTAATATCAGATTGTGTGGTGTGAGATGGATATAGCATATTCTCCGTACTTCCTCTTGGCAACAGTCATGTCATAGTAGAGGATCATTGCTGGATTCCTGGTGATAACGCGTCATGGGATCAGTCGGGTTGTACCGTGGCCGGGGGTGCCCATAATTATGATGGCCTCCCTGTGCTGCAGTCATCATCATGAGTAGCCGCAAAGAAACCCGACCCACGGGTCAAAAGTAATGCCGCATTTCCATTCACCAACATGTACATCATGCCCGATCCAAAAGCCCATCCGAGGACCGCATGAGACTTCGCACTGCTTTCGGCTCATTGGTCGGATTTCTTTGGCCACTGACACTTGAACTGTACATAATTCGTTTCTACTCTACACGCAAGTGACATGGGTCATTCATTACCTGGGCCATGGGGGAGGGGAGGGGCATGATGGGCCGCAACACATTGATTCGCTTTCACAACTCACACAAGTCACTGAAACCATTCATTCAGGTTCCAGTCGGGTACGACACCCTCTAAAATGCAGTGTTGTGCAGCGGCCGAGTGGGAACAGTTACCGCAGAACAAGAAAAAGAAAAGAAAACAAAAAATTTGATGTCAGAAGTGGGATTCGAACCCACGCCTACAGAAGTAGACTGCGACCTGAACGCAGCGCCTTAGACCACTCGGCCATCCTGACAGCTCTGTATAACGTCGTGTAGGTAGTGATAGTAGTTGTTAGAAACCGCTGGTCATTTGGCATCAAAACGTACACAGTCAGGGCACGTGATGAAAAGAAGCAGCATGAGCCATGATGCTTCGAGCTTTCAATTTTTCAAGTTTTTGTATTTGCTGAGTCTGTGATTCAGTGTGAATATTGAATGCTGCTTGTTCCTACCAGTACGAAATACTGTATCATCACTTCAACAATACTTCAACAGGAAGTAGTACATTACTACCTACAGTTCACAGCTAGCAGTATTTTCTTCAGGACCTACGCGAATCCAAGGCAAGATATTTCTCAAGTGCGACGACGGGTGTTTGTGTGAACCAGTGCTGCAATCATGTCCGAAGTTCGGGAGGGTAGCCACGCAGAGCTGGTCCGTTCCAATCAGAAAGATCTCACGTATTTATCTCAGCTCCGTTCAATGGTGACTGACATTGGACAGAATGTGCTTGGTGAGTTCATAACAGTCAAGTGTTGTTAATCCAAGGCGAATGTTTTAGTTTCCTGAAGCAAGGAGCGTTTCCAAAGGGGTCCAATTGTTATTTGAAATCCATACCATGCCAGGCCATAGCCTTAGTATGAGTTGAAAATCAATGTTTCAAGAATGTAAACAAGTCCAGACCAGTCTACGAAAACACATGCCCACTTCAGCACATGTATAAGAAATCACCCATCGTAATCGGTTGTGACCTTGTGCCCTGGTCACTTCCGTCTTGATGATAGCAGTAGTTATAGCTGAAAGATATTGCGTCAAGTAGTTATAGCTGCAGGCGCGTAGCACTTCCTTTGGAGGTGGTCCGGCAGGAGGGGGTCCGGAGGCTATCCCCCGGGAAAAATTGAAATTAGGGTGCAAAATCCTGCATTCTGGGCACTTTTGGCCGTGGTTGGGTGAAAAAGTGGTCCGGCTGAACCGGCTGCTACGCCCCTGACTGTTGTGTACTGTTACCTAAGCGCTTATGTTTGCAGTGCCCTTGCGGCATTTCGAGCATACTGGCGGCGTTCACACTTCTTTATAAAAGTGCTTTATCGCAAGCAAGGGGAGACGTGAGCCATTGCAAGGAAGCGAGCTTTGGTTTTCCGAGCTACAAAACAGTGGATGTGTGACAGATATGATGGAGCCAAACAATAATTGTGATCTGTAACCCAGTTTGCCAACAGGCTCAACCCCTACAGGAACAAGGTGTACCATTCTTTTTTCTCAGGTCCCCTTTCTGCTTGCCGTCATAGGTTTCTGGTTTCAAGCAAATTTACGGCCCGCACCAACTCTTTGTCTGCATAATTTTTTTGCCATCTGGCGAAAATACCTCAAAACACCTCTAATGAATACCTGTATTTTGTTGTAAATGCCTCTTCCCTGAAGTTACCTGAATCTGTAGAGGCTGAGGTTAGTCGTAGGAAGATCATGCAAGTAGCCAGTGGTGATGTTTATCACGGCCGGGGGCTGGTTTTACTGGCTAGAGCAGTGGGTTGAGTCGTTAGGAACACTATGATCGAAATGATGTAACCCGTATGCATCACCAATATCATTCACTTGTTTATGATGAGTTCATGATGTGCGGTTCTTGTACTACCCCGATTGCTGCAGGCATGCGCCAGGTGATCCGATGGCAGAAGGAGTTGACTCTCCTGGCTGATCTGGGATACTATTCTCTCACGACTCTGTCCGGTGAGTGAGAACTAATGCTTGCTATTGGCATCTTCATCTTGTGTTTGTTGTGGGGCTCGAGTTATTCCTCCTCATCCTTGTCTGCACTGCCCCTGCCTATGGAACAGCAATGATCACACCAGCATGAAGGTGATATGATATCATGGGCCTTAAGATCCCGTGTTGCAATGTGAGCGAGAGGAATAGTAATTTATTCCCGAGCTTTGGAAGACATTAATGTGTAACAAGTATGCTGTATTTACCTTTGCTGGCGGCCATGTTTTATTGTTCTACTTTTTTTGTAGGTTTTCAAACGCTTGGTGAGGAGTATAGCGACATCCTGCAGATCGACAAGTCCACAACTCGTTTTGTTGTTCCCAACTTGCTAGTGAGTGAAATAACGTTTTCTCCTTGACAAGGGAGAGGGAGAGAGAGAGAGAGAGAGAGAGAGAGAGAGAGAGAGAGAGAGAGAGAGAGAGAGAGAATGTGTGTGCATGAGTGCGTGCGTGTGTGTGGTGTGGTGTGCGCGCACATGTGCCCATATTTACGTGTGTGTATAATAATCATGATTGCTAGTGCATGCTTCCAGTACATTCTGTATTATCAATGGAGTGTGCCTGCCTGTATTGTGGGCAAGCGGTGATTGTTGACTTCAATCATGTGTGTCATTCGTGTACGCGTCCATCTACCCTTGCTGTTCACGATCTAACATTTTTTTTTAAATTCTTTTATGTTATGCACAGCAACGGATTGCCATGATCCTCTTCCACACGTTCACACCGTATTTGCTGGATAAATGCTTGGCCCGGGCACAGAGCTATCTGTCACGAGACAGCACGGCTGCAACTATGCCGCATAGTCGACGTGAGCTGCTGCTGAGGTTGATTGCCTACGCAAGACCTGCTGTGGAATGTAAGAAAACGCTTCTTTGCGGGCATGTGTACTCACTGTGAATGAAGCCATAGTGTCTAACATTTTTATGGCATGCAGATGTTGCCTGATGATTGCGAGAGCATGGAACTTGAAGTAGCAGCAAACAAGCCTTGATTGTCCTTGTTGTTCTGTTCTGTATTACGCTCTGGCTCCGCGGTGTTGAGCACTGTCAGCACTCTGGGTACATCCTCCGATGGCATGCAACAATTTTGTTATTTGAAAAATGAAGAAATGCTGCCAGAAACTTTACTATGTTGTACAGGTGTCCTTATCAGGCTTGCTTGTCATGTGTCGTCAAGCTTTCTGTACTCTAATCAGGGCAGCTTCCTGCATTCATTGAACATTTGTTCCTTAAACCTTTTTTTTTGTGTTGCAGTAGCTACCAATACTAGCTAGCAACTATGCCAGTCGCGCCTAGGTGATGCCTGTTGGCTGACATAACGGAACCCTAGAGGGGGGCGTGCATAACACAGTTTCGTAGCTTTTGGCGGAGAAAGGGCAACAACGAAAAATGCTACGAAAGGTCCGTTCATTAGGAGCTCACGCAACCGTGGTAACGTCCGAGATTTTCTTGTCGTACGAGAATCGGGTATTGGCACGAGTCTGCAGTCACGCATGCATGAGGTCAGTGCGCAACAGAGCGCATGTGTCATGCAGCACTATGGTGCCGTACGGCTATGACTGCCAAAATACAAGTACATGTACTTCAAATGAAGTAGTTTCGTTGTGAAGTTTTTCTTTCAAGTCGGAAGTTGACAAAAGTTCATACTAGCTGGTCCTTTCATTACTCGAGGCTATAACGTCCCATTCTGATGAATTTTCGTTGTGAGCAACTTCTATTGATCATCCAGGTGGGTGCAATATGTAAAGGCCATATTCGGTCGGGTGGCTTATCATTACATCTGTATTACTTGTCACTGCTGCACATAATGTTGCACTGAATGTCACCAAATTAAGGAACAGCCTACTGTAAGTCAACAAATACTCGGCGCATATTTATTTGCGGCCAGTTTCGCCCTGGTCCTGTTTGGCCGAAAATTTGTCGCGGCTGAAATTTAGTTTTGCAAGGCTCAGTGTGACAGTGTCTAGGCGGCAGCAGTACAGGCTGAAAATTTGATGTGGCCGAAATGGGTTTTAGCCCTGGGAGGCGGAAATTTGAATGGGCCTAAAATTTGTAGACTTACAGTTGTCGACATTTTCCACTTATTTGGCACAGAAAATTGTGTTAACATTTCTTGTCTACTCTTGTTCTTGACAGTGCCACATGCACACTGCAGGTGTACGAGTATGTCCTCTAATCACTCTTTCGATTTTGTCTGTCTTCATACAGGGCTGCACCGTTCTCATCAGGTTCTTTTCTTCCTCAATGGTGCTTTCTATCATCTGTCCAAGCGTCTTGCCGGTGTCAACTATGTACGGAAGTTGTATGTTATGGAGGGGCGAGGGTGGGGATGTACGTGTCATTTCATTGTTCCTGATCAATCTTTTTTCTGTACCTTGTCCTCAACCACGTACATATACTGAGATATTATCAGCGCATGAGTGGCATCCTTTCCAAGTTCACCCAGAGTCAGTAGTCAGTGTCCAGGGAGTGGGGGCTGTTGGTCTGTCACCTCAAAAGCCAGTTGTGTCATCTTTCCCTGATTCCTTTGAAGGTGCTCTCTCCCGGTGAGACCCACTTGACAAGTTTCTGGCAACGAGCAAGTACAGTGCAGTACGGTACAGTGTGTGGCTGTGGCTGTGACGGTGGCTGTTAAAAACCATTATGTGTGTGTGTGTGTGTGTGTATGTGTGTATGTGTGTATGTGTGTATGTGTGTATGTGTGTATGTGTGTATGTGTGTGTGTGTGTGTGTATGTGTGTATGTATGTGTGTGTGTGTATGTGTGTATGTGTGTGTATGTGTGTGTGTGTGTGTGTGTGTGTGTGTGTGTGTGTATGTGTGTGTGTGTGTGTATGTGTGTATCTGCGCAGATTGCTGTGCCGCGTGGTGTCACACCGCAGCACAGCGCCGTGCAGGGCTGGGCGAAAGCCTATCGGCTGATGGGCTACATCATGGCCGCTCAGCTGTTCATCTCGGCTGCCTCTTGGCTCCGCTCGGTGTCAGCACATAGTCATTCTGCTACTAGTCTGTCACAAACCCCGGGTACACAGCCACCATTCTCAGATAGCAGGTATGTAGCAAGTGATGTGGGCTTTTGTTTGAAGATCTTAGCAGATTTTCAAGGAGATGTTTGGCTTCTTGGAGAGGAGTGGCCTCGAATTCAAGTCCAGCACTGCTGGTAGTTCTGAACTGAGAAAATGCCACCACCACTGCTGACAACGCGAGTGTGTGAGTTCTTGGTAGACACGTTTTATTTCTGTATTTTTATACTTTACTATCTAAACGGCTGGCCATGTTTTGACATGCATAACAAGTCAGCAGCAGGCACATTTATTTTTTAAAAAACCTATTCATGTGAGTTGAAGTATGTTCAATATTGCATCAGCAATGCTTAGCGTACTGGCGATTCGCTGTTTTGACTTTGTGTGCCGAAATTATTATTTTTATTCTAAAATGCTTTACGGACCTTACAGTGTAGAGTGAGTGATCTTGCGGTGCGGTGGGAGGCAGGTATAGTTTTGGCTTCTTGTAACTTGAACCTAACCGTTGTGACTCGTTTCCCCTTCTACTCTCTTTGCCAGCACCGAGTCGTCGACGGCAACCCCCAGTGCCATACAGTGTTCTCTGTGCCTGTCGCCATGTCAACACACCACGGCAACCGTGTGCGGTCACTTGTTCTGCTGGGCATGCGTAGTCCAGGCATGTTCTACTCAGGTATGGTCATCAAGTGTGTACTGTAAGAATTGAAATTGTGACTAAAGTTTTAACGGCTCTGCCATCACAAACCCGTCTTTTATTTCTCTAGTACAGAAGAGAGAAGGAATGGCACTCCAGTAACGTTTCTTGAGTCAACGATGGATTTTTTCTCGTTGAAACGTTCGACTTTGTACCCCGTGAGAGATTCAACCCTTGCAGTATTATTTTCTGTGTGTACTGAGTATATCTGCTTTGGTGGAGAGGCGGGTCATTGAAAGGCTATGTTCTGGTTGCCTACGGTGAATGGAGACAACTGTGGATGACCCCTAGGATGTCTGTGCTTGTGCGTGTGGATGTGTTTGCGAATGTTCTCCTCTCCCTGCAGCCGGAGTGCCCGCTGTGTCGTGAGCCCTGCCAGCCATCTCAGCTCATCTACCTGCGTGACTTCTTGCCATCGTGATGATAGTCGGATAGTGCTACATGTGTGTGGGGACTGCTGTCAGCCGTTTGGATTGGCCATTCCAAGACTTCGCTGGAGCGCTCTCTTGCCAAAGTCTCCTGCCGGGCTGTCCACCGCAAGTACTTCCCAGACAACTGCCCGCGGCCATGGCTGGTTAGGCTGGCTTTCTGTCGAGGTGTCTTACGGCAGCCCTCCCTGTCAACAGACCAGGATGGGTGTTTCACATTGATTTTATAATCGGTTGCGGAAATGAAGCGGATTTTCGTGCTGGGATGTTCCTGAGAGTTTTGTCTACGGTGAGTGCAAGATTTTTAATCATATGTCGATATCTAGTGGTGCCTTTTTTGTATGCTGATCAAGAGGTCGTCAGCAGTGACCGTTTTCAAGGTGTGCTTGTGACTTCACTGGTGTATGTGAAGAACGGGGCAGGTTTACCCATCCTTTCTCTTGTCTATGCAGGGGCGTCGGACACGGTACGGTCACTACGGTATCGACCATACTACTTTTCGCCCTAGGTACCCCCCCCCCCCCCGTGAATCAATAAAATACACTGATCTGGGATCTAAATTTCCAAAATGTTCAGCTCAACCACCCCTCCTCCACGAGTAAATTGTACTTCAGATGGCTGACCGTACCACACTAGAATACCTTCCGACGCCGCTGCTATGTATTGGACTATTGGTGTATTGGCGTATGCAGTATACGCATGGGTATGGTTGTATAATGAATCTTTTTTGTGCTGCTTCTGCAGGGTGTGATTTGTTCAAAAAAGGCCTGCTCTGTACAACCAGTCTCCACTGCACCGTGGAGAGAGGAGCTGGACAGCAGCTGCAATGGAAGTCTTCAGCTGTGTCCAGCATCACTACTGCCGTACCTTGCCAATCACAGTGGCCGTGCTTTCAAAAGTGGCATTGCAGCAGCAGCTACATGACATGCTCTCTACTGCACTGGTGGTAGGTCAGCAAGGAGAGAGCCACTCTGCACAAAAGTCCATTGTGATAAAAGGACAAAGAGAACAGCTTGCCAGCCTTGCACGGTACCTGTACCTGTATCTGGGTATGTACTGTCCAGAATAGTATTTACATTGTAGTTCCCCTCCCCTGCCTTTGACCTGACCTGGCGTACTAACATTAGTTAGTGGACATGATTTGTTCATCCCCTCCCCTGCCTTTGACCTGACCCGGCATACCAGATAGTGGACATGATTTGTTCATCCCCTCCCCTGCCTTTGACCTGACCCGGCATACCAGATAGTGGACATGATTTGTTCATCCCCTCCCCTGCCTTTGACTTGACCCGGCATACCAGATAGTGGACATGATTTGTTCATGTCCTTCCTGGATTGAACACCCTTTTTGAACTGTTTTTGCAAATGCTTTGTTTGTGGTATTCATTTTTACGACTTCGCACAAATGAATGGGTATATTTTATGAATGATAGCTTGTGTTAGCCGGAGGACTCTCATTTGTTGAATGATATCTTGTAGTGGCAGAGCATCTCAGGTCTAATTGAAGGTCCCTGTTTCAAGTCCTGGATCCTGGCGTTGATAGTCAATGGGTTCTTCAGACTTTTTATATATTTTCAACTCACCTCAAGCCATGAATTTTATTAGTTCCTGTTGTTTCGGTGCCTTTGAATCGTGGTGTATATCTTCCTCATGGTATATATTCCGTGAGACTGTTGCTGTGTGGTAAAGTTACCTTATTCACAAGTATTGTACATGTAATTGGTAGTCAATGATGATGCTCATAGTGATAGCTGTGCTTTTCACAGAGAGTGCTGGTGGTGGTGGTGGTGGTGGATGTCAGACCTGGCATAACCGCACACATCCGTTTTCCACAAAAATATCCGGATAGGCGAGGGAACCGGATAATCGAACACACATACTATATGTAAGCATGGCATATGCTGTAAATTGGTAACCAACGATTTTTTTCCGGATGGCGAGGGATCCGGATAAACGAGGATCGGATAAGCGAGGTCTGACTGTATCTAGTATCCCTATGAATAGTATGACGCTAAGACAGTTTCTCCCCCACAATCGCTCGTGTTAAGCCTTGGGTTTTTGCATCTTTCTTACCTGTACAGCTCTATCTTCTTCTTTTTTCATTGTTTTTGGTGCGTGTTTTTGGCCGTGACGCCGAGACCTCAGGTCGGCAGAGTTATCAATGCCCCACCATCACTGCTGCGTCTCGGTGCAGCGCCTGCTCATTAGTTGTCACGTTTGTCCTAGTCTCCGTACCATTGTCTTTCCTTATTCTTTTCGAGCTGGTGATGTGAACGTAGTAAAAAAAAATCCAAATAGGGAGGTGTGGATGACATGAATAAATGCTCGGTTCAATATTCTCTCTCACTCACTCTCTCTCTCTCTCTCTCTCTCTCTCTCTCTCTCTCTCTCTCTCTCTCTCTCTCTCTCTCTCTCTCTCTCTCTCTCTCTCTCTCGCGCGCGCGCGCGCGCGGACATTTGACCCGACGAGACCACACAACGCTTGCAGATCACAGCACGAACAGTTCACCAGCCACACTCCACGAAAGCAAGTAGTAGTGCTCCTGACAAATCTTGTTTCGTTCCATAGAGATTATATCGGGGAACTCATCAGAGGAGAAGCAGTTGTTGAATGAAGGGGTTTTAGCTGAATAATGCTATTTTATAGAGAAGATACCGGCGCAGGATGTAAACACTCAACTAACTCACTCACATAATTATGTGACATATCAACACAAAGGGAATAGTGCAGAATGGAGGTGTTCTGAACCCTACCAGACACAACTATCACAAGTGCTAAATAATCAATCACAATGCATGAGAAGGAGAGGTACACAGGAATAGGTTGCGCTAGTTTACTGTAAATTACACGTCACAAACGCGTCTGATGAGTTCCCCGTTATATCTCTATGGAACGAAACAAGACTTGTCAGGAGTACTACTACTTGCTTTGTGGAGTGTGGCTGGTGAACTGTTCGTGCTGTGATCTGCAAGCGTCGTGTGGTCTCGTCGGGTCAAATGAAAAACCTTTTACTATTGTATAGGTTTGCAGCGACGAGAGCACTTGCCAACAGCTCTGCTTTTCGATGGACCGTGAGTCTCAGAGACGCTTTTTAGGAAGCGAGGGCACTCCCTCTGCGGGCAGTACTTGCCGACCTTGCAGCTTGGTAGATATCAGCGCGGTGTCTGTAACCAGTGGTAGCTGATAGCTTTCCCCCGTGGCTCGCCTAGATCGGCTTTCCCTGCACCGTGTGGGTGGTCGCTAAAAAGTGCCGATTTGACTGTATTTTCGAACGTAGATCTACGGAAGTACTGTACAGGTGCCGCGGTAGGTGCAATGTACATGGATAATGTCCTTCGAAGTAATTGCTACTGCAATTTTGTAAGTACACGTACATGTACAGTCGTACAGTGAAGCTTCTATAGGTTGTAGTGCTAGATTACGGACACCCTGGGGTACTGAACATGGGAAAACGAAACCGAATGAGGAAAGGTGACCGGGGCCAAGGGCTACATGTACTGTCATGTGGTGACCTTGATTCTTGATTCTTCGCGTTGCTTGTAGGCGTACATGGGTAGGGTGGGGGCAGACCCAGGCCTACAGCAGCCAGTATGCAGTGCTCCTGTAGTTTAACTGTTGAACATAATGGTTTGCATACATGTTTAAAAATACGCTGTTATATGTTGAGTCAATTCACGTATGCCATGGCCGGCGTTGTAGATGCTAACAGGAACTTGCGATCGGGGGCAGGGCGCAGACTGTAACAGTATCCTGTATCTGCGGAGTGCTGGACGTATACCGGTAGTTGACTGGTTCTATGCCGGCTTGCGACTGTGCAGCAGTGGGCTACTCGGCCTGGGGTGCCTGGGACTGCGGAGACACCCATGGCTTCCTCTGCCGCTGCTGTTCTAGCTTGCCTTGGCGCGACAAAAGACGCTGCTCGTCTGGTTTGAGCCAGATTGTAGATTGGTCTTGGCGAAAGGCGTACTTACTTGTACACGGCGCGGAGCGACTCAGTCAGTTGTGGTATTCGAGTGCTGCGCTTCTTGCTGGAATAGTACTACTGTCAGGTATGGACATGTACAATTATGTGTTTGATTGTGGTTGAATTCTGTGTGCAATGACAATGTACGTGTGTTTGGCTCGAGGTGTATCCTCTATACTGATGTAATTCCGTTGGTACTACGGTAGTTGTGCAGCTATAGTCAATGCGTTGAAGTTGCTCGCTATGTCTTTTCTTTGGTGAAAGTTGACGTTCACCATGGATCGTTCACTGCATGATGTAGTCACGGTCAGACCGTGTTGATTGCCTTTTGAGGCCAGAGCCTGTTGTCCACCCGTGTAGGCATGCCTATGGTCGTTATAATCTGCTAGACACTGAAGAACCTCATGCGTTTGGCGTGAAATAGTAATTCCACAGTTCTCACTTATCAGCGTCTCCTTTCACAGTATCTTAAGCTTCGCGTCAATTCTAACTAATTTCTAAGCTCCCCCGAATTGCACTGTATTCGTCCGGATTGATTTGACAATACTGAATAGTGAGAAAGGTTTGCTCCCCACACCGGAGCTCGCGCTATTCCGCCGACTTTACTTGACACTTGACTGACTCACGACTGCCATCCAGAGCACACGAGAAGTCCATCGAACCTTCGACTCGGCAAACCTGCAAGAAAGCACCACTTCCTGCTCAATACACAGTAATACTGAATAGTGGCCCAAACTAATGAGAACCCATGGAGAAGACTTGATCAAAAAGTAAAATCCGGTAGTACTTGTCCTCGATTATGTCTTATAGTTACAGGCCACATGAATTCAATGGAGACTTCCCGTTCCAACCCATCACTACCCTGCACTGGTGTTGTCCTACTTGCTCCACATGTACATGAAGGTACCATGAAGAAGTATGGTCGAGAAAGTCCAGTATCACTGAGGGGAAAGAACGTGTTGTTCATTGCACTTGAAGTTGATATGTGCTCAGTCTAGTGAGCATAATACAGTGGTCCCTCTATAATCCGGCACCATTTGTGCCACGGAAAATCTGCTGGATAAGGGAGGGTGCTGGATTAACAAATCGGATTTACTGCTGCAATGTGTACGAAGAGGACATTTTGGCTACTGAATATTGTGCTGGTTTATAAAGTGCTGGATTAGAGAGGGACGACTGTAATTGTATACCGGGTACATAATGCATATTGTTGCCCTGCAACATAAGACATCGCCCTCCCTTCCCCGCAAATGATGAATGATTTCAGTATTTATGGCGACACCCTTGCCTCGACTGGGGACCTCTTGACTGCGAAAGCTGGGATTAATACAAGTCATGTACTTTCTCAGACCTCTTACCCATGTACTTCTTGGAGACTGACTATGATTGCAATGTAGCGTTTGGCCATTGTAGAATATCAGGCATGCATGCTGTTCACAACGAGTGGTTTTGTTCGTAAAACGTTACAGTGTTACAGTGACTAAACCCACAGTCTGTATTGGTTAGGCATTGGCGGATAATGCTCGAAAAGGTGGCCGATTCTGCTCGAAAATCAGTGAAATTGGCAGAACCATACAAACCTTATGGCGGGCAATTCCTCGAATTCAGCTTCATTTCTTTAACCACATACCAAACATGCATGAAACGTACCAGAAAAAGTACCGAATTCTGCCAATTTTCTGCCGGCATTTAATATCCGCATATGCCTAGTACCTGTATTGGTCCCTCACTGTTCTGCCTTCGCATGCAGCAGAGTCAAAACAGCAGATCACAGATTATACAACCCCTGTGACCTGCAACCGAGTAGTATAAATAACCGTTTCACCAGTGTCTTGTAGTGCAGTAACCTTGGACTTTTGTTGCAACTCTTTCTCTTGATCCCTGACCACTGAAATAGCAGTACATGAGCTTGAAGTACATGATAAAAACTCCGCCACCCATGTAGACGTACATGTATACGCCAATTCGGTCCTTGATTGTTTCCATAGCAATCCGCGAACTCTGGCGGGAGTACTGTTAGTAAGTATGTAAATATGATGACTTGTGTGGACGTAAGTTACTGAGTATTCGTGACCGTGTTGTTCTCTGCAGACCAGTCGCACCGGTCTACTGCCATCATGGGCTGCGCTGTTTCCGATATAGCTCAGGAGTTTCAGAGGCTGGACGCACAGTTCCAAAAAGGCGTCCAGGCCACGTATGATTCGCTGACCAAAACCATCGAGGACATGAAGACTCCCGATGATATCAAAGCCGCGTCAGCCAAGGTTGAGGTAGGCAGGCTCAGCTGGCACTCCGGCCCAGAGGCACTGGCTGAGTACACGTATATCATTTTTATCGGGGAGGGGGGGGAGGGGGCGGCGGACAATGACAATTTTGTACTACAGTACCGGTATGTAAAATGTACAAGTACATATAAGGCAAAGCAATTGAAGACGATGCACATAGAAGAAAGGTAGTAACCCTACTCGACCAGTATGTATCACTGATCACGCTCCCCTATAGCCAAAATGTCTTCCTACCACCTCGATATCTCCTTCTTCTCCACCTCCCGTGGTTATTTCGTGGTGATTTGTTATTATCCAGCGCTCTTCGTTATCCAAGAAAGGATACTACATAGTACCAGCATTGCAGTAGTCGTCACAGTTATAACAACAAGCCCTGATTACAGTCATTTGAATGTGTTGAGCACTCTGTCCATTGTTGTTCTCACATTTTGCTGATTGTAATACAAACTTTGTGCCGAGTACAAGTACCAGTATTGCGGCCTGTCATGATTCTGCTTCATTCTTCTCGCAGGATAACTGGCCCGAAAAAACTGGTAAAGCAATCGTCAAGGCCATGGAATTTGCGCAGATGAAAGTGAACAACATGTGCTGTGGTCTGGGTGGCCCTCCCACGGTATTCGTAAGTACATGACTTTGGTACAATGACATGTGATTGTCATCTACAAATTTTAAAAATTATACATGCAGTGATGACGAAATGTGCTTTCCAACTCTTTGCTGATGCTCTGTGCTTGGTCCGAAGTCATCTCTAGATGTAGATGCCTTTGGCAATGTTTGGGTTACACGACTAGGACTCGAACCTGCCCTATACTATAGAGGTTATGCGAATGATTTCATGGGGGTTTTCAAATGGGCTCAAGTATACAGCGTGAGTCAGCAGATTTTCCAACGGGCGCTGCGTGAGCCGCTAGTGCAAGTGCGGCACTGTACATGTTAATGTACTGCGAGTCCGCGACTATGCCAAAGCATCTCAACTGATGACGTACATTCGCATAACGACTAGTGTACTATAAGCCAGGTAAAAACGTGAGGCTATGGTTGTTTGGGGAAGTCGCGAGGCTTGAGGATCGAGCATTGCAAAGAGGCCGATGACTATGAATGATTGTGCAAGCGCTGGAGACGCTCCGGGGAGAACATTATGTTTACCACACACACCAAGCTATCACGTCTACACCGATCACGAACGCATCGCCGGCGCCGGACAGTCGTCCCGTCGTCCTGTGGTCGTATACGTGAAACAATGAATGATCATCCGTGATATACATGAATCATGATAATTATGTCCAAGTGTGAACAGGGATCGTGGCTAGAGACTGCTGGACACAGTGTGGAATACTTGTGATGTATGCTGGTGTTGTCTTGTGATACAGACTGTGATGTTGCAAATAATGGCACAATAATGTTTGGTCACTTTGGGAGTTTGGTGTATATGTGTGCTAACCATGTTAACTGTTTGTCTCATCTAATCGTTGACTTCACCATCACACGTATGGACCCAGCAACACTGCATGCTTCTGCATTCTATTTGAAGTATTTCCTATGTCGCACTAACACATTCGCACATACATGTACACTGACACAGACATAGCTCTTCATATCACTTCTCTCCCTCCCTTCCTTTCTCCTAACACCTATCACCAGTGCTGCTACTCTCTCTCTCTCTCCACACATACCGATACACACCGATTTCTAGCACCTTTCCCCCACACTTCTGATCACTTTCCTACACTGGCTACATCGCCTCACAGCATGCTAGCTACAGTAGTATAGTATTTACTGTAATCAGTTTCCAGTTTCCGGTTTTGTTTGCGTTTACTGGAATTTACTGTTTGAAGTGTTTTCACCGCGATGATGAGCCATGCCTGAAAATTTGGTGAACACTTTTTAGTGACGTGGAATCTACGCAGCGAAGAGACTGTGTTGGATGTTTGAGGGACTCTGAAGTCGAGTGTTGCCACCCTAACTGGCCGAAGCCCTTGTTTTGTTTGCCAGCTTCGCTGGTCAGTAGTCGCCTTCACTTCAGGCCGTACTTGTCCTAACCAACCAACTGAGGCTCAGCGGCTGGTTTTTTCGTCCAACTGGCGGACAACAGACCAGTGAGTAAACTCCAAAAAGGACCAAAGCATGGCTCTGCTAGCTGCTACTCCCACCGGCCAGCTCGCCGTGGGCTAGCCACCACATACATTTTGTGGTGAAGAAGCGCACGCTTCATTTGGTCGTTCCGCGCGCAGTTGATGCATTCCTGGTAATGCGCTGTTGCAGTACATAGCGAGGCCGCGAGATCCGTCACCCGGACCTCTTTGCCTGTACAGCTGATGAAGGGCGAAACCCTTCTAGAGGAACCCTTCTAGCGGAAACCTGGGCAGCGGATTATGTTGGAAATGGAGTTCCCCCAGCATCATTATTCTATGGCCATGATGACTGTCGACCCCAACTCTTCCGATGTTTCGATGGGATCTGCACCATGTTTGGGCGGGATGAGCGAACACCACAACCACTACCTACAAGTCAACTGTAGGTTTACGTTTACAGTTCTTGCCCTTTACAGTCTGTGATCATCAGATCATGGTGATTGGTGATTGGTGATTGGTGAACATGGATGCAGCGAATATTCTTTAGTGTAGATCTACATGCAGTGCTGCCAAATAGTTTTCCCCCAAATTCTGACACCCTTTAGCGCCAATCCCCCCCCCCCCCCCCCCCCCCCCCGGCCAAGGCTGTCCACATAGTGCGAATTACTAAAAGTTGTTCTCAGCAATTTTTTTGAGAGAATTCAAAATATCGCCCAAGATACGAAGAAAATTCGCTCGCTCAAAAGTGGAAATACAGGACTTCCGCATAGGAAAGTACTGATCCCTGACATTTTCGGCTGCTTTGGGACGTATCCTTTTTCGGACCAGTATTCGGAAGAGCCTTCAAAAATCAGACACTGTCCGAAAAATCGGACGGGTAGGCAGCTCTGTGCATGTCTTTCAAGTGGGCTCATCCTACGAGTACATAATTGTATCAGCAGAGGAAGATTATATGTACCGAAAATATCCATGCCCCATGTAATGGAGATGCAGAACAGTCGAAACTGGAGCCTGTTCGAATAATCTGATTCGAATAATCTAGCCGTAATATATCACAGTGGAAGAAGCGTTGCGCACTGGCTTGTGCGATTGCCCGCACCTCTTACTGTCTGGTCAAGTCCTGTTTCCGTATCACAGCGGTAGCTAACGAGTCAACAACACGGTTTGCTTAGCCTTTTTGGTTGAACTTTTTCAAATGACTAGGCAAAGGCAAGATGATCACAGAAAGTTGATCACAGAAAGTTGATCGCAGAAATCTCAAGAGGTCTATGTACAGTAGTGGCCAAAGAAATCCAACCCCCCCCCCCCCCCCTTACCGAAAGCAGTGTCAAGGCTCATGCGGCCGCTGTGGCCCTCGGGTGGGTTGTTTGGACCGTATCAGGGGCGTCGGACACGGTACGGTCACTACGGTATTGACCGTACCACTTTTTGCCCCAGGTACCCCGAGAATCAATAAAACACACTGATCTGGGCTCTAAATTTCCAAAATTTCGGCTCGGCACCCCTCCCTCGCGAGCAAATTGTACTTCAGATGGCTAACCGTACCACACTAAAATACCTTCCGACGTCCCTGGTATATGATATACAGTGAAACTGTCCAAGGCGACCGCTTAAGGGATCTTCAACATGTCGCTATGTACAGGTGGTCTCCTTATCCACTGGGGTAATTTGACTGGAAATAGCATCTCTTGATCCTAGTTGCAGCGGTCCTCTGCGACAGGTGGTGGTCTTATCAGAGAGTGGTTGCCCTGACACATTTTACTGTAATTTAAATGCACGGCATTGCTTTCGGCACTTGGGTTGGATTTCATTAGCCACGCCAGTATCTTAGTATGACACAGCAATAATAATTACAAGAATGCAGAAACTCTCCATTGTGACGTTGTGTACTTGCTCTACAGGGGGCTCAAGACAAGAAAGCCGACCTGGAGAAAGTCTCTCAGGCTAGAGAGGCTGTGGTGAAGTTTCTGAAGGAGTTGCAGAAAGCCGCTGAGAGCGGTGACAAGGCCAAGATGGATGAGGCCGCAAAGAAGGTGCCCGAAATCAACGGCAAAAAGCCAACTGTGAAACTGGTATGAGCTCAATTTCTAGCCGATGATTGTGATTATAATTGCTTTGTGCTCATGCTGTCTTTGTATCAGTCCTTAGTTTGGCAAAGAAGAAAGTGTAGTGAAGTTATGGTTTTTTATTTTGCTTTTTTAGTGTTTATTTGAATTCGGATAGCTCAACAGTACAGAAGTACAACTACGAAGAGTACCGAATAGCAGTATGGTGTCACGGATTTGATTCACTTCAGTACTTCAAACTGTTCATACAATCGGATGGGAGAGAGTAATGGAAAAGCGTGATAAATCCTTCATAACAACATCTCATAGCTGGTAGTGTTCTGTGTGCTGAGTCAGATGGTGTTGTATCAAAGAAGCTGCGATGTTCTTATGGACATCATTCTCTGTGTGTGTGTGCATGTACTATTCTCTCCTGCTAGGATCCACCCGGGCCGAGTGAGGCAGAAAAGGTCAGATTATGACTTAAGATAATTATATGTACACTATACTGTTCACAAGCTACCCATAGACGTTTGCCAAGTTGTTGAAGAGTATTAGGGGCTGTCCAAGGTTGCCAATACGGCAATAGTTTTTCCAACACGAAAAGTTTTCGTTTGGGGGTGGGTGGGTTTTAGGAGTTTCATTTTGAAAATAATTATTGCATGCAGATGGAGAATGCCCAGTTACTTCTGGGTGCCGAGAATTGACGTGATTGACGTGACATTGGGCTGCGTTTACACGGAGACGAAACGAAACGAAACGGAACTTTGCCTTTGAATTGCATTTTTATAGGCAAACCACGTTGCATGTATGTATTGTACTTTTCAGGGTTCCATTTAAATCTAGGATTTGACTTAGAGCCAATTATACATCATATATTCGTGTGATCAAGTTTTTTTGTGCAGAAGTTGGTCACTCACAAAGTGGAGCTCATACCTCATGCCAAAATAATTGACCCCACATGTTTGGTAGCCTGTATGAGCTCACAATTGGCAGCAATCAAATTCTTCAACTATCACCGCCAAAGGCGCTACTTTTAGGTTCGTAAAATTTCCATTGTGCGGTAATGGAGATGGGGATTGGGGCTGGTCAGTTGTTACCATATCGCATGCTTGTTGCTTGGTGGCATGGCTTAAATAGAGCATGGCACAGAATGTAATGGCAGCCTACCTGTGCCTGCATTGCTGGTTACCCAAGATATGATTATGGATAACATTTCCATCCCTGATGTCTTGATAAGAACTTGAGGCATTGCCGGATGTACTAGGATAGAGAATTATGCAGCATTGCTGCTCAACATCTTCCTGCCCATCCCGATGTCTAATGGCCTGTGTGGGAAGGGAGTGCTCTCTCAGAGATGGACTCAAGATCGCTGCTACCCAGCGCATCGGTCTGTTGTCGTCTGCAGGTCTCTGCACAGGCTGCACCTGAGGCACTGGACGATGACACTACGTCCCCGCAGCAGTCAAAGACAGCACTGGGCGATAACAATACATCCCCGCAGCAGTCAAAGACAGTACTGGACGATGACAATACATCCCCGCAGCAGTCAAAGACAGTACTGGGCGATGACGATACATCCCCGCAGCAGTCGAAGACAGTACTGGACGATGAAAATACATCCCCACAGCAATCAGATACAGTACTGGGCGATGCCAATACGTCCCCGCAGAAGTCAGAGACAGTATTGGATGATGACAATACGTCCCCAGAGCAGCAGTCAGAGACAGTACCTGGCGATGACAATACGTCCCAAGAGCAGCAGTCAGAGACAATACTGGATGATGACAAAACGTTCCCACAGCAGCAGTCAGAGACAGCACCTGACAATGACAATACGTCCCAACAGCAGCAGTCAAAGACGGCACCTGGCAATGACAATACGTCCCCGCAGCACTCAGAGACTGTACTGAACATTATCCTGGCGTATGGAGATGAAAGTGAACCCCTTGTAGCTGATGACACTGCTGTTCGTGACGGGCAGTCAGTTTACATTGATCTTGACCTTAGGTCGCTGTCAGATGGAGAGCCAAAAGATGTTGATACCACGCATCTCATTCCTACAACAACAATTTCCATTGCACTACAATACTGAGCTGGGGCTTTGACGGGCTGTGCTGACTTTTATTTTTCAGGTGATTGCAAGGATTGTTGTAACATTATACCAACTGTCACGGCATCGTATCGTTTGTCACGACATGCCGTTCCGAGTAGTTGAAAAATGCATGACCCTCGCCGGCCTCCCTGTCATACACAGCGGCAATGACGGTATTCACGGGTGATGGCCTTTCGTGTTGCTATACGTTATGAACCCCAACAACCAACAATACCCATGGCTAATGAAATGCATGAGCTTGCCATTATTAACTTAAACCCCGGCAACAGGTTACCAATGGCGTACTATAGGTGCATGAGTAAGTCACTGGTGAATAGCCTGGCTTTATCACAGTGCTTCCCCATCGTCGTGTTCAAGGTGTTGACTGGGGCTGAACACTCATTAATATGCTGGAGGTTGATTGTAATGCCATCCAAACTCCACGTAACAACATGTTTTAGAGGTTTCTAAAATTATCTGCTACCTATTCTTCTCAAAAAGGATTCTTTGCTTTTTTCCCTCGTAGTGAATGGGTGAACAATGAACTTCCGAAATCGATGCACTTCCCCTTCTATTTTAGGGTACATGGAAAAAGTGAATTTTGCAATCCTGGAATAGAATGAGATCCCTTGATGAAGCCATTTCCACCGATATTCATTTGCAATTTTGTTTTGTACTGGCTTTTGTACTCTTTTTGCGGCACGATGATATGTTGGCATTCAATTATCTTGTTCAACTCTCGAGGTGTTGCTTTGCTGCAGTTTTCCTCCTGGATTCTTCTACCATATCCGTGTCTACTCTTTCTTTGTTATATTCTTTCCTTTGTTTCTTTGTTTTGGTCTCTGTGTCTCTCTGCCTCTCTCTTTTCTGTGTCTCCCTTTACATAATCCAAACTTGAGTTGTCTGTAACCATCGCCTAGACGAAATTTAGATGTCGAATAGGACCGTTTGTAATGACGGACTGTGATCGATTAAGCACTGGCTGCGCACCTTAGGATCCAGGTTTGTGCGTATGGGCAAGGTATTGCACTTGCGAGCACGGAGACAGTCCTCACCACAGTCAACTCAAGTGCATACTCCCAGGCCAAGCAATCATGGTGACATCTGGGATTGGTCACTGATTTCAGTGCCGGGATGATGCTTATCTCAGTGTGTGTTTCACAGCTGTAACCGTTGCCTGATATTCGCTGAGACATGGGCTAATGCAATGCTTGTTCTTCTCATATGTTTGATCATGATTTCTTAGTCCCAGCCTATTGCCCAAGAACATGCAGTTCTACTGATGTGTGTTGTGTTCTGTGTTTTCCTTCCCTCATCTGTGATCAATCTGGCGGGATTTGCAGGCTGCTGCTGATGTAAGTACGAATGTTATGTCTTGGATAGAGAGAGATAGAGAGATAGATAGATAGATAGAGAGAGAGAGAGGGGGGGGGGGGGGGAGGTTGCAGTTGGAGAAAGAACTGGACAAACACAAAACAATAATAATAGATGTGCAAAATGGTTTATGTAATGCAATGATGCCGTGGGCTGGCAGACCACTCAGATATAGCCAAGGTCAGTGGGACGCAGCTTATTATTGCCTCTTGAACTATCATCATGGGGAAGATACACCTCGGAGACAATGTCATGGTTGTGCGACTAACTCTCCTCTCTGCTATCCTCATTCTTGTATGTTCTCACAGAAAGAAGCAGCAGAGAAGGCCGTAAGTTACTGTGGTTGAGGTGATGATGTTGTGATACATGCACTTGTATTATTGTTATATAATATGTACTTGTACAGTACGAGACTGGCGTAATATTATTTCTACCTCGAGAGCATCATTCATGTACGCGCGCATGCTCTGGTTCAGGGTCTCCTTTCCCTTGCTACTCTACGGACTGGTTGTGCTTGCTTGCATGTATGCATGCATGGCTATCTCAAGACACAGCACGTGTTCACATGAATAGCTATTGCGACTTGAAGTTTGGTCTTCACGGAGTACTGTACAGGCAGAAAATTTCGTCGGTCAATAATTTCGTCCAACTCCAAAGAAAGGGAGTTCGGCTGGCTGTAAATGTCGTCCATGGATCATAAGAGTGTATTGAAAGGCTGGACAAATCGACATTCGTCCGGCATTTAATTTAGTCCAAAACCTCCTTGGACGAAAAAGACGAAATTAAATTCCAGACGAATATTTCTGCTGATACAGTATGTATATTGACCTGTACGGGCTGTAGCCCAACGGTCAAGTACGGTTGTGGACATTGAAATCCGTTGAGAAGTCAAGCAGCTACGGGATGCTGGTCTTGCAGCAACGAGCACTGCTGGTCCATTTTTACAGTGTGTGCGTGAACTACAGTGCATGTACGCGCCAAGGCAGTAAGGGCTCCGGTTCAGGGGCATTCCACCGGATTTCAATGTCCACAATAGTACTACTTGAAGTAGGAAATTACTGACACATCAGACCACCTACCCTGCTGCTCTTTCTGCTCTAGAGAGAAAGCAGCAGAAGGTAGGTGACCTAATTTCCTAATGAACAGCTGTTGTTCAAGAATGCACTGTACTGCAGCGTAGTTACATCATAGTGACATCACATGTAAATGCAGACCTGCTTTACTTGCCATGTGAGTAGATAGGGGAGCAAGGATTAGCGGTTGCTTGATCCACATGATCTGTGTCATAGTTGTCCAAAGCCAGCTCTCCTATAACACCAGTAGTGTTCTTATTTGATAAGATCGAAGAAGTATATTTCCTTGAGCAATTTATTCGCATAGTTCTCGAACCCGAAATGCAGGATTATGTATTTACTCTGTAGCATGGTACATTACACAGTCAGAAATGTTTTTCAACTTCTGTTGTCCCATCTATATTTCCTTATTTTTCCACAGAAAAAAGAAGCGGAAGACATCGTAAGTACAAGTGCATTCTCACTGCCAATTTAAAATCATCCATTCACTTTAACGGCCATTGTTCTGACGGGATTGCTGTTCCTCACTTCAAACTCTCCAACTACGGTCTCTTCGCTGCATAAGTTCACTTCACTTCCAAAAAAAACAATGATATTAGATACGAATGGAATGCACCAAATTTTCGGGCATGGCCCATCTTCAGGGTGAAAAACTATTCAACCCTGTAATGTGTGAGTGGCTGCAATGGAGTCTGCGAGTGCTTAGAAAAGGGATTGCTGTTCAGTGTTCTAAAAGTAAAGTCATACCTAATGAAATGCGATGTTTCGGATACAGAACTGTTGGGTACCGAAGAACGACCAGGCTAGAATTCCACCCTGGCACAGCATACCAATGTATACACAGTGACTCAACTGTCCACAGACTGTGAACATAGGAATGGTGTAGGCTAGGAGGCTGACACCCCAGTTCTTCCATAACCGAAAGTACTGCACTTGAAGATCAGCAACCTGCAGCCACGCTCACCTCCAGTGTAGCAGGTCTAAGGCTATGCTTCACCTGGTGCCGCGGCTTGGTGACATGATGGATCTGAATTGGTGTGCCTTTGCAGACACTTGTTGCGACTCAAACATGATTTGAAGCTGGCCGAATGTACAATTATGGCTATCCAAAATATGTCTGATGTCACTGATAAAGTGACGCACCATATTTGACCGGTTGTAAGTCCACCTTTTACGACTAAAAGTCAAAAGAGAAAAGTCGGGGGTCGTCTTTCATCCGGGATTCGACTTACAACCCGGAACTACCGGCAACTTCCAAAAAATTAATGACCTTCACTGCATGCACACGTGCGCCACGTGTACTCATTTTTGCCAGTTTATTTGCCTTTTTCCAGGATTTGGACGTTTCACCCTCCAATGAGGAGTGTCTGTGTGATATGTTAATGTGTTGGTAGCAGGGAATGATAAGCGGTGCTTGGTTGGGTGAAAACTTTAAAGACAGAAATAAGACCTTCGGATACGCCATAGCCGGGGCGGACTTGTAACCGGAAAAATACTGTACGTCTGGAGTACCCAGGGTCCAAAACTCTTCACCGTGTGTGTGTGTACGTGCGTGCGTGCGTGCGTGCGTGTGTGTGCATGTGGTGTTGCTTTCTCGTGTGTTTCTGTGTTTTGCTATGGGTACTCAGGAAAAACTTGCTGCCAAGGAGGTAAATATGAAAAAATCCCGAATTGAAGCTCATCCTCATTTTGTTGTTTCTTTTCTTGGCTAAATCTGGTACTGAGTTGGCTAATTTGCTTTGTACATGTACTATAGGCATGCACTAGGCATGTACACGTTGCTTAAGTTATGGGAGACTCAGCTGGAGACCTAGTTTTCCGCATCCGCAGGAACGCCACCACCCTCGAAGATCAAGGCGCAGATGCAGCTCCTAAAGCGGTGGAAGGTGGGTAGATCAGGCCCACCACCAAAGTGGTGAAAGACCGAAATCCCATGCACTGCATGCATGCTTCCCTCGTGCCATGCAACGAGTTCCCAATTAACTGTGGGTCGCAGTACGGCTGGAAAAAAATCCTTCCGCTTCCAAGCAGGACTTGAACCTGGCACCCTCTGTTTCTCAATCACTGTCTTAGACCATCCTACTATCATCAGTGCTCTTTTGTGCATACAAGAAGCAGAGGGAGGAATACAATTGAATCCTGTTCTGCTTTGTCTACCTCTGTTTTTGCCATGCTACAGAAAGCAGATGCTGAAAAGGCTGTAAGTTGTTCAGACAAGTTCAAACATTTCTCATTATTCCTGAAGCCATGTACTTGCATGTGAACTATGTTCGGATTAGTAGCATCTGGCTCTAGCCAGGGTCCACAAATCTTTAATGTGCGTGTGTGTGGGCCGGCTGTAATCGTGTGATATGCCATACGTGGCACGCTATCCCGTATATGTCCCATGCCTGCCTTTAAAGGCAGCAGGCGCTAGGCCACCACCGTTCTTATGTTTATGTTTGTCCTCGAAGCTATGCAAAAGACGGTACAAATAGTAGAGTCTAGCGCTAGCCAGGGTCCACGATGCTTTTACGAAATGAAGCGCAGTGGACCCTGGCTAGCGCCCACAGCGCTTTAGTCCCATAGCTATGCAGAAGACACAGAAGACATTACGATTACACTCATATCTCTCTCTTATCGGAGCAGCCTGGTACCGGGCACTGCACACCCCTTGGAAATGTCTGTAACTCTGAATCACGTACATTTTGATGGTGAAGAGCCAGAGATTTGGGATATGATGTCACTATTTCAACTTTTAAATTTGGCTAAAGAGTAGTAATATTTCTAATTTGGCAAAAGAGTAGTATTATTTGTCAAATCATTAGCCTTGCAAGCTGTGGAATGGTGTAATCCCAGCACAAGTTGCTATGTCTAACATAGCTGTTCGCTATCATCACTTCCGGAATGGGCAGGTCTGAGGTCTGAAATCGGATGTGTGTGTGTGTGTTGTGTGTGTGTGTGTGTATGTGTGTGTGGGTATGTGTGTGTGTATGTGTGTGTGTGCGTGTGTGTGCGTGCATGTGCCGCTGCTTTCTCGTGTGTTTTGTGTTTTGCTATGGGTACTCAGGAAAAACTTGCTGCTACGGAGGTAAGTGGAAATACATCCCGTATTGAAGTTCATCCTCATTTTGTTGTTTCTTGTCTCATACTGCGTTGGCTAATTTGCTTTCTACATTTTGAAAAGTTTGCACATATATGTACTGGGCATGTACACGTTGCGTATGTCCTATATTTTAGATGGCAAATTTGTTAAGAGAAGTATTGTGCCCCCTTCTTCATGCTTGTAAGAGCACACACACTCATGCAGCCCCCCCCCCCCCACACACACACATGCACCCATTGTAAGCATACACCGAATCACAAATCACACCATCACTCGCCGGTAGGTTAGAAATGGCCATCAACAAGACAGTAAAACTAAAAGGGATCACGTGAGACTTGGTTGGAGACCGAATGTTCCGCATCCGCAGGAACGCCAGCACCCTCAAAGATCAAGGCGCAGATGCAGCTCCTAAAGCGGTGGGAGGCGAGTAGTTCAAACCCACCAGCAAAGTGGTCAAAGACCAAAATCCCTTTCGCTGCATCCATGCTTCCCTCGTGCCAGGCCACAAGTTCCCAATTAATTGTGGGTCGCAGCACAGCTGGAAAAATCCTTCCGCTTCCAAGCAGGACTTAAACCTGGTACCCTCTGTTTCTCAATCATGGTCTTAGACCATCTTACTATGCCTGGCTGCACACAGGAAACAGAGGAATGAATACAATTGAATCCTATTCTGCTTTGTCTCCCCTCTGTTTTTGCCATGCTACAGAAAGCGGATGCTGAAAAGGCTGTAAGTTGTTCAGACAAGTTCAAACATTTCTCATTACTCCTGAAGCCATGCACCGTAAAGTCTTGTATAAAAGCCGCACTTGAATAGAAGCCGCCCTCGAATAGAAGCCGCAATTTTGGGCCCATCAAATCACACATAAGCCTGGTTTTAGTGTTGACATACATAGAAATACCTGTCTTGTATAGAAGCCTGTCTCATAAAAAAGCCGGCAAAATTTCACCAAGAAAGTCATAGAAGCCGCGGCTTTTATACAAGACTTTACGGTATGTGAACCATGTTAGGATTAGTAGCATCTGGCTCTAACCAGGGTCCATAACTCCTTGATGTGGGTGTGTGGGCCGGCCGTAATAATGTGCGCTATCCCGTATATGTCGCGCGCCGTCACGTCAAAGGCAGCAGGTGCTAGGCCACCACATTTCTGATGTTAATGTTTGTTCCCGAAGCTATGCAAAGGACAGTACAATTAGTAGTCTAGCGCTAGCCAGGGCCCACGATGCTTTTACGAAATGAAGCGCAGGGGACCCTGGCTGGCGCCCAGAGCGCTTTAGTTCCATAGCTATGCAGAAGACGCAGAAGACGTTACGATTACACTCATATCTCTCTTATCGGGGCAGTCCGGTACCTTGGAAATGTCTGCAACTCTGAATCACGTACATTTTGATGGTGAAGAGCCAGAGATTTGGGATATGATGTCACTACTTCAACAAAACTTGGCAAAAGAGTAGTAATATTTCCAATTTGGCAAAAGAGTATTATTATTTTGTCAATTCATAAGCCTTGCAAGCTGTGGAATGGTGTAATCCCAGCACAAGTTGCTATGTCTAACATAGCTGTTCGCTATCATTGCTTCCGCACTGGGCATGTCTGAGGTCTGAGGTGTGTGTGTGTGTGTGTATGTGTGTGTGTGTGTGTGTGTGTGTGTGTGTGTGTGTGTGTGTGTGTGTGTGTGTGTGTGTGTGTGTGTGTGCAAATATTACCTTCACTGGGGGCAGGGGTAACTGCAGTTGGATCCCGGGACGGATACCTGATGCCGTCAATCCATTTTCTGCACCTTGTCCTCACCCACTTACTGAGGTGTGGTGAGCCCATAAGTGGGATCATTTTCAAGTCCACCCAGAGTTTTGGGGATTTCAGGGGGTGTCGGCCGTTGGGCGGTTCAATAACCAATTGAGTCATCTTTCCAAGATTCCTTTTGAGTCTCTCTCCCCTCTCCCGGGGAGACCCACGTGACCAGTTTTGGCAGTGAGCAACAAGTACAAGTGTGTGTGTGTGTGTGTGTGTGCGGTGTTGCTTTCTCGTGTGTTTATGTGTTCTGCTTGGGTGCTCAGGAAAAACTTGCTGCTACGGAGGTAAGTGGGAATGCATTCCGAATTGAAGCTCATCCTCATTTGCTATTTCTTTTCTTGGCTAAATCTCATACTGCGTTGGCTAATTTGCTTTCTACATTTTGAAAAGTTTGCACACATATGTACTGGGCATGTACACGTTGCGTATGTCCTTTATTTTAGATGGCAAATTTGTGTGAAGAGAAGTATTGAACCCCTCCCCCCCCACCTTCTTCATGCTTGTACGAGCACGCACACACTCATACAATTGAATCCTGTTCTGCTTTGTCTACCTCTGTTTTCGCCATGCAACAGAAAGCGGATGCTGAAAAGGCTGTAAGTTATTCAGATAAGTTCAAACACTTCTCATACTTCCTGAAGCTATGTATGTGAACTATGTTAGGATTAGTAGCATCTGGCTCTAACGAGAGTCCAAAACTTCTTGATGTGGGTGGGTGTGTGGGCCGGCCGTAATCACGTGATGCGCCATGAGTGGGACGCTATCCCGTATATGTCCCGCACCTGCCGCCAAGGGCAGCAGGCGCTAGGCAACCAGCGTTCTTGTGTTTATGTTTGTTCCCGAAGCTATGCAAAAAAAACGGTACAATCAATAGAGACCAGCGCTAGCCAGGGTCCACGATGCTTTTACGAAATGAATCGGCGTGGACCCTGGCTACCGCCCACAGATGCAGAAGCCGTTACGATTACACTCATATCTTTCTTATCGGGGCAGTCTGGTACCGGGCACTGCACACACCTTGGAAATGTCTGTAACTCTGAATCACGTACATTTTGATGGGGAAGAGCCAGGAATCTGGCATAATGTCACTATTTCAACGTAATTTGGCTAAAGAGTAGTAATATTTCCAATTTGACTAAAGAGTAGTATTATTTCCACTAAACCTCACCATACGACGACCCCGAGGACGACCACGTCTGAGATGGATCGACGTTGTCAAGAAAGACTTACAATGCATTAATCTGTCGCTTCTGGATGCTGTGCAATCTGCTTCTGATAGAGCTGCTTGGCTCGAAATTGTTAACAGATGCGTTGACCTCATGCAATGAGTGAAATGCGAACTGTCATTATTATTATTATTATTATTATTAAACCTCACCAAACAGGGTGTCCGGTAGACCGAGGTGCCTGTAACTTGGAGGAGAGATATGGGTGTAGTAGTGTCTGGTGCTAGCCAGGATCCACGATGATTTAACTTGTGTGTGTGTGTGGGTGTGTACGCGTGCGTGTGCGTGCGCGTGCGTGTGTGCGCGCGCGCGTGCATGCGTGTGTGTGGGTGTGTATGTGTGTGTGCTTAGGCTGAAATTAGTGGCGGTCAATTCATCAGCCTTGCAAGCTGTTAAATGGTGTAATCCCAGCACAAGTTGCTAAGTCTAACATAGCTGTTCGCTATCATCGCTTCCGTGAATGGCAGGTCTGAGTTCTGTAGTCTGAGGTGTGTGTGTGTGTGTGTGTGTTTGTGTGTGTGTGTGTGTGTGTGTTCGTGTGTGCATGTGGTGTTGCTTTCTCGTGTGTTTATGTGTTCTGCTTGGGTGCTCAGGAAAAACTTGCTGCTACGGAGGTAAGTGGGAATGCATTCCGAATTGAAGCTCATCCTCATTTGCTATTTCTTTTCTTGGCTAAATCTCATACTGCGTTGGCTAATTTGCTTTCTACATTTTGAAAAGTTTGCACATATATGTACTGGGCATGTACACGTTGCGTATGTCCTTTATTTTAGATGGCAAATTTGTTAAGAGGAATATTGTGTCCCCCCCTTCTTCATTCTCGTACGAGCACACGCACTCGTGCACCCCCCCCCCCCCCCACACACACACATTGTAAACATACACCGAAGCACAACTCACACCATCACTGGCCAGTAGGTTAGAAATGGCTGTCAACAAGACAGTAAAACTAAAAGGGATCACGGTTCACGTGAGACTCGCCTGGAGACCGAATTTTCCGCATCCGCAGGGACGCCGCCACCCTCGAAGATCAAGGCGCAGATGCAGCTCCTAAAGAGGTGGGAGGTGAGTAGATCAGACCCAACACCAAAGTGGTCAAAGACCGAAATCCCATTCGCTGCATCCATGCTTCCCCCGTGCCAGGCCACGAGTTCCCAATTGACCGTGGGTCGCTGCACGGCTGGAAAAATCCTTCCGCTCCCAAGCAGGACTTGAACCTGGTACCCTCTGTTTCTCAACCATAGTAGACCATCATATTACTAGTATGACTACCTGCTTACAGGAAGCAGAGGAATGAATACCATTGAATCCTGTTCTGCTTTGTCTCCCTTCTGTTTTTGCCATGCTACAGAAAGCAGATGCTGAAAAGGCTGTAAGTTGTTCAGACAAGTTCAAACACTTCTCGTTAGTCCTGAAGCCATGTAAACTATGTTAGGATTAGTAGCATCTGGCTCTAACCAGGGTCTACAACTCTTTAGTGTGTGTGTGTGTGTGTGCCGGCCGTAATGGTGTGACACGCCATGCCTGGGCGCTATCCCGTATAATTATATTATGTCCCGCGCTGTGCCGTCAAAGGCAGCAGGCGCTAGGCCACCGGCATTCTTATGATTACGTTTGTTCCCGAAGAGTATGCAAAAGACGGTACAGTCAGTAGAGACAAGCGCTAGCCAGGGTCCACAATGCTTTTACGAAATGAATCGGCGTGGACGTTGGCTACCGCCCACAGCGCTTTAGTCCCATAGCTGTGCAGAAGACGCAGGAGACGTTACGATTACACTCATATCTCTCTTATCGGGGCAGTCTGGTACCGGGCCCTGCACACACTTTGGAAATGTCTGTAACTCTTAATCACGTAAATTTTGATAATGAAGAGACAGAGATCTGGGATATGACATTATATGATGTCACTGTTTCAACTAAATTTTGCTAAAGAGTAGTAATATTTCCAATTTGGCTAAAGAGTAGTAATATTTCCACTAAAACTCGCCTACAGAGTGCCCGGTAGACCGAGGTGCCTGTGACTTGGAGGAGTGAGATATGGGTGTAGTAGTGTCTGGAGCTAGCCAGGATCCACAATGCTTTATCTTGTGTGTGTGTGTGTGTGTGTGTGTGTGTGTGTGTGTGTGTGTGTGTGTGTGCGTGTGTGTGTGTGTGTGTGTGTGCGCGCGAGCGTGTGTGTGTGCGTGTGCTAAGGCTAAAATTAGTGGCGGTCAATTCATCAGCCTTGCAGACTCTTGAATGGTGTAATCCCAGCACAAGTTGCTATGTCTAACATAGCTGTTCGCTATCATCGCTTCCGCGATGGGCAGGTCTGAGGTCTGTAGTCTGAGGTGTGTGTGTGTGTGTGTGTTTGTGTGTGTGTGTGTGTGTGTGTGTGTGTGTGTGTGTGTGTGTGTGTGTGTGTGTGTGTGTGTGTGTGTGTGTGTGTGTGTGTGTGCGTGTGTGTGCATGTGGCGTTGCCTTCTCGCGTGTTTATGTGTTCTGCTATGGGTACTCAGGAAAAACTTGCTGCTACGGAGGTAAGTGGGAATGCATTCCGAATTGAAGCTCATCCTCATTTGCTATTTCTTTTCTTGGCTAAATCTCATACTGCGTTGGCTAATTTGCTTTCTACATTTTGAAAAGTTTGCACATATATGTACTGGGCATGTACACGTTGCGTATGTCCTTTATTTTAGATGGCAAATTTGTGTGAAGAGAAGTATTGAGCTCCCCCCCCCCCCCCCCCCACACCACCTTCTTCAAGGTTGTGCGAGCACACGCATTCATGCCCCCCCCCCCCACACACACATTGCAAACATACTTCTTTGAAGTACAGCCAAGCACAAATCACATCATCACGGGCCAGTAGGTTGGAAATGGCCGTCAAGAAGACAATAAAAAAATAATAATCACGGTTTGCGTGAGACTCGCCTGGAGACCGAATTTTCCGCATCCACAGGAACACCACCCTCAAAGATCAAGGTGTAGATGCAGCTCCTAAAGCTGTGGGAGGTGAGTAAATCAGACCTACCAAAGTGGTCAAAGACCGACATCCCATTCGCTGCATCCATGCTTCCCTCGTGTCAGGCCATGAGCTCCCAATTAATTGTGGGTCGCAGCACAGCTGGAAAAATCCTTCCACTCCCAAGCAGGACTTAAACCTGGTACCCTCTGTTTCTCAATCACGGTCTTAGACCATCTTACTATGCCTGGCTGCATACAGGAAACAGAGGAATGAATACAATTGAATCCTGTTCTGCTTTGTCTCCCCTCTGTTTTTGCCATGCTACAGAAAGCAGATGCTGAAAAGGCTGTAAGTTGTTCAGACAGGTTCAAACACTTCTCATTATCCCTGAAGCCATGTATGTGAACTATGTCACAGTAGAGTCGCGCGCTGAAGAACGTGAAGCCCAAGAACGTCCAGCCTGAATGTCTAAGAACGCCACAGTCTAAAGTTAGAGCGTCGGTGTTGGGTTTCTGGAAGCTTGTGGGATACATACATATGATTCAGTACGGATTGTTTCTAAGAACGTGTTATAAGCACGCAACCAGATTGCCGAAAAATAAGAACGTCCCAGGCTAACCCCTTGGAAACAACGTTCTTGGGCGCGCGACTCTATACTGTACTTCGAAGTAGGATCAGTAGTATCTGGTTCTAGCCAGGCTCCACAACTCTTTAATGTGTGTGTGTGTGGGGGGGGGGGGGGGGCGGCCGTAATCGTGTGGTGCGCCATGCCTGGCGCACTATCCCGTGTACTATATACTGTATAGCAGAACATTTTCGGACGGAATTTATTTTCGTACGCGATGATTTCGTACACGGCCTCTTTTGTACTAAAATTAATTACGTACTAAAATTTGTTCATGTGAAATAATAATTATGTACAATACATGTACATGTGCACTGCATGCAAACACTTGCATTTAGTATGAAGCACTGTACGAAAATACAATCTGCAGGGAAGGTCGAAATTCGGTTTTGTCCGAAAATTTCCTGCTGTACAGTACTGGACCCTGCACACACTTTGGAAATGTCTGTAAATCTTAATCACGTACATTTTGATGGTGAAGAGCCAGAAATCTGGGATATGATGTCACTATTTCAGCTAAATTTGGCTAAAGAGTAGTAATATTTTCACGAAAAGAGTCACCAAAAGGGTGCCCGGTAGACCGAGGTGCCCGTACTCGGAGAGATAGGAGTGTAGTAGCTTCTGGAGGTAGCCAGGATGGAGCGTGGATGCTGCCAGGGCATCCATTTCGTGGAGTTGACCAGTGCTGGCAGAGTAGATCTGCAGAATAGGTTCGGTTGTTGTCGTTGTCTTTTCTGTCATTGTTGAGATGCCGCTCCTCTGGAGAACTTTTCTCCTCCTTGGGACATGACAGTGTTCGGCATGTCCACGAGGGATGGGAAAATCCTCGAAACCTTCACTTTGCCTTCTAGCGCAGCAAGTTTCCTCCATGCTTTGTCACAACAAAGGTTCCATCTCGAGTTTGCTTGTCCTTCCGGTAGCATATGCCACCAAGGATGAAGGCTTGCTTTCCACGAGAAGTTTTAAAATTAATGGATTCCGTTATTCCACGATTGAACGATTCGAATTCTTAATCATCTCCTGGTGTTCCTTTGCCTATGGCAGTTGTACTGAAGTTCCATGTAGCGCCAAAATAAGCAACGCGAACCTCAACTGGCGCGTAAATGAACAAGACCAAAGAAGGCAGTGATCGAGTAACCAAGGCCAACCGTTCTTAACTCTGTATCGGCGGAGAGCGCATATCTCCCGGAAGGGGTGAACCAGTTAACCGATTAACTAGTTCTTTAACCGTTTCGAACAAACGAGCGCCTAAATACTCGTTTACGTTTTCACTCTCCGCTGTACACAATATTATAATTATGTAGCTGTTGAGCTACGTTCTTGTCAGTGCAGGAACTAACACTGTGAGTGTTGTGCTGCACAATGGATGCATGACAAGGCGATTACGCTTGTGGCTTTAGTCTACTAGAGCGGACAAACATGAGAATATCTTGAATCAGCTCTGAAATGTTGAGACAGCCTGAGGACCTGTGTCCACTTCACATGTTGTGGTGTGTATCTTGTAGTGAGTGAGGGCCATGGATATGCACAAGAGCACACAAATAGTAGGATATGTGTCGAGCTGGTTACCAATGATTCAGTAACAGCCTTATAGCTTATAAGTTATAACCGTTTTAAGATTCTGGGGAACCGATCAGCTTAAAACCAGCAATTTCAGTCCTACTTTCCGGCCGTTGGGTAATGCAAAAATGTCATAATAGAAGGCAGAACCTTCAATCTGCGGACAGAACTGTTTCGTCTAGTGTGGACTCATCAGCATAGCACAGAGAAGAGATGCCGAACCTGACAGCAATGAAAAATGATAAGTTTTCCAAAGCCAGATTTAACCCTTTCCGTGCTAATGACGTCTATAGACGTCATGCGCACTGTACGCCAAACGACTAATGACGTCTATAGACGTCATGAGATTTGCGCAGTATATCGCTGTGCATAGATCAGTGTACAAACTTTCGTAACTCCGTCAAAAATGAGTCTATCGCGACAATCGATACACCGTTGGAAAGGTATTGAGCTCAGCTTTCCAGTAATATAACGTTCTTCACGATAGGAGAAAGATTGACGGAGCGGCGACGGTGTGAACACAAAATTCACGGCACTGAGCGATCGTGAGTTTTTTTGTTCGTGCGTTCGCAGTTTTCTGTTGCGTGCCAGGGGATTTCCCTTTGGTACAGCGCATGCGTAATGGACACCAGCGAAAGTACGTGGATCTCAGCTTTGCAGCGCAGTTTGAATAGTGAAAATCGGCTGAACTGGAACAAGAAACCGAAAAAGAATGTGAGATCGAGTTGCTGTGCCTTTCCGAGGCATCGTGAAGTAGTTTCGACAGGACATAGAAGTTACACCGCCATGCATATTGAGTTGAGAGCTACCAGGATGGATTCGCTTGGTCCTGATCTTTCCAACAAGCCCAGGATGATGAAAATCCATCCAGGTAAACTGAACTGCCAGAGAAAAATTCGTTCGGACCTGTGAGCGAAAACGACACCTGGAGAGTCAGTGCGCTGGAAAGTCAGTTTGCTGGAGTAAAAGGGGCCAGCACGGAAAGGGTTAAACCAGGCCCGAACGTACCTTGCGAGAATGTCAAGCTGACAAGTCAGAAGGCAGAACATGTTGGCACCCCAAACTTATTTGCGCCTGATAATGATGGTTCTGACATGATGTCAGGTGCTGGTGTGAGTTAGCTGAGATGCCGGGTGCGGTTTTCTGATGCGCTGAAGCGGATGCTAACCATTGCGCAAATAGCCACACCAATCTGCCCGTATAGATACTAGTGCTATTACTATAGTCACTGGTGAGGTGGACTGGTCACTGAGTCCAAACTGGCAGGCTGCTGTGGTGTTTGAGTGACGAAGACACGGTGCGCGTTGTGTGCAAGGAGACCGAGACCTCTGATCGGAGGAGTCCACAACCCCCCACCTACACAGCTGCGCTAGTTGATACTAGTAGTCAGCCCCGACACTATAGTTGTTTGTTCTGTCAACCCACAACTTCTGTCTTCTAGTCGTTTCTTCGTTCTCCCTGCATGCAACTTTGTTATCTTTCTTGTTCTTATTTTCGTCTCGAGCCGGGTTTGTGTTCTTTGTAGAAAAAATAGAAAAAAACACCCCAGCACCTAGTTACCCAACTCCCTCCACACTTATACTGGCTCTAACCCTGTACTTCAACCTCATTATCAGCAACTATTTGGAATGCCTGAGATGTTGAATATACACATAGATATAAAGAAGAAAAAGGTCTGAATGGACTCGGATGGAAAGCCAAGGATACATTTATAGTAAAAGAAAAAAGGACCAAGAAACTGCAAGTTAGGCTATAATGTCCACTAACACCACCAGTTACTAAACAATCAGCTCATGCGATAACATTGCACGAAACTGACCGACGGTACTGACGTTCTACAACTAACTGGCTAACAGCTCTAGCACATCTTGGATGCACACTCCAACAGCCTTCCAACTTGTTATCGCATGTCGTCGCATCAGCTGATTGTTTAGTAACTGGTGGTGTTAGTGGACATTTAGCCTAACTTGCAGTTTCTTGGTCCTTTTTTTCTTTAATATAAAAGGGTCTGAGCTTAATATTTGCTGTTATTTCTGTGTTTATGTGCCAATTTTCAGCGCGGTGAGGCCGCAGCACTGGTAAGAACTAATGTGTTTAGATATTATTATCACAGGGCATTGTCCGAAGTGGTGGTGGTGGTGGTGGGGGGTGTGCGGCACTGATTAGTGGTATTTTCTATGCAGGGGGTTCAGTGTGCGGTGGTTATCACATGGTTCATGGGCTATTGATGCCTGCACGAAAACGTGGAAGTGTTGCAGTGATGAGCTTGAGAAGCAGGGCAGTGTTGATTTGGCCGTACACAGTACACACTCGAAAGAAAAATCTAGCAGAACTGTTCCCTTCAGTAAATACACCATGATACTCTGATCCTGTCGAGAGAGCACTCTGAACAGGCTGGGAGCGTACTCTTGAATCATCGGAGAACGTTATTTTCTTGAATTAGACCAAGGGCCTTGCCCGGCAGGGCTGGCAGCTCTCTCACCGGGTGCAGGTACTTGATATTAGTGTTTGAACTCCCCGTAAGCTGTGCTGTCTGGTGTTGCTTTCTCGTGTTTTCTGTATTTATGCTGTGGATGCACAGGAGGAAACTGCTGCTAAGGAGGTAAGTAGAAAAGAGAAACGTATGTCAAAAGGTAGCTCATCCTCATCTTGTTGTCGCATTCAGTCTCGGCTAAATCTTGTACTGTGTTGGCGAGTGTGCTTTCAATTCAATAACATGATTCTCCAGTTTGAAAATACATCTACTAGTAATACTTATGATTGGTAATGTTCCACATTTGAGATATCAACTTTGTTTAGATAATGTATTTCGATCACATTGTCACCTTTGGAATGCTGGGAAATTGAATATTGATAACAAAAGAAAGGTTTTGTCTAATACATGTATGTGCTGTTCTTGCTGTGTCTGTGCCCCAATTTGCAGCGCGATGAAGCCCAAACACTGGTAAGGACGACATTGTTTAGATATTATTATCAATGCATTGTCAGAGGAGGTGGGGGGGGGGGGGGGCATTTCTGTTTGATGGTCCTTCCTGCCCAGGGGAGGGGGGGGGGGCAGTTTGCAATGGCTGCCACATGGTCCATGAGCTGGTGTCAGACATGGTGGGACCTATTTCCTGGATCTGATTCACAGCAAACCCTTGGGGTACGATGTAGCACGTTTTGGTTGTTTGGCTCCCTCACCTATCCCGATAGTCTTCCTGCTCCTTTGCTTCCTGAAGCACGATCTGGCTGGATCTACTCTTTCTTATCCGACCATGCAGTCTAACATCCTTGTGAGGTGCACGTAGCAGTGCCATCCTTCGTTTGTTGTATTTGTGTTTCTCCACTGCGGTCATTTTCACACTGTCTACGCCTGTCCCGTTACCCTTCTCACACTGTCTGCGCCTGTCCCGTTACCCTTCTGACACTGTCTTACATGTTTGTGTTTGCTACTGTTTTGCTAGGCCGACACGGCTCAAGCAAATGTAAGTAGAACCGAGAACTGAGACATGGCGCGCATGGAATAAACAGCATTTTTCGGGGAAGTGTTTATGTGCTATCAATCAATGTCTGCATGAGAACAGCGCTGTATTGTACGTGCCATTCATACTTGAAAGAGAAGTGCAATAAAACTGCTTCTCTCATTGATCCACATGACAAGGTCTAATCTTGCTCAGAGAATAATCTCAATAGGATTCAAATGTACTCTTGAGTCAAAGTACAGTGAAACCTGACAAGGCGACCACCTGTCCCAGATGACCACCACAATTAGGAGGATTTTAGGACCAATGGATCATATTAGCAGTCAAATGACCCTGGATAAGGAGACCACCACCGGTGCACAGTAACCATATTTTGAAGGTCCATTGGGCGGTCGCCTTACACAGGTTTCACTGCATATTCGTTTCTTGAATGGGAGCGAGGGCCCTGTGAATGGGAGCGAGGGCCCTGTGAATGGGAGCGAGGGCCCTGTGAATGGGAGCGAGGGCCCTGAGCTGGCAGCTCTCTCATTGGGTGACAGTATTGGTCGCCTTACACAGGTTTCACTGCATATTCGTTTCTTGAATGGGAGCGAGGGCCCTGTGAATGGGAGCAAGGGCCCTGTGAATGGGAGCGAGGGCCCTGTGAATGGGAGCGAGGGCCCTGAGCTGGCAGCTCTCTCATTTGGTGACAGTATTCAGTATTTTATTGGTATTCCCTCCCAAGCTGTGCTCTGTGGTGTTGCTTTCTCGTGTTCTCTTTATGTTTTCATGGATGTACAGGAAGCTGCTGCTGCTCAGGAGGTAAGACTAAGAAGGAATGAAACCCGAATGGTAGCTTATCCCTTTATCTTTTTTTTGCTCTTCTTGGCCAAGTCTTGTATTTGTATTTGTATTTATGGATTCTTCACAGGCCTTAGCCTAAATCGAGGGAGTCTCCGTCACTGTGCAGGCTAATGTGCTCTCTACGTTTTGGCAAGCATACGAGTACATGCCGAACTAGTAAAAGTGCACTGTACGTCCTCTACCCTAGCCAAACTGTACTTACCTGTGGGAGGTCTCTGACAGCTCTTTGCCAGCTATTTTGACACGCCTGAAATCCTAATAGCCACACCAATCTGCCAGTATAAAATGCTACTTCAGTATTATGTTACCGTGGTAACCCGTGAGCACGCTGGCAGTCTATATTGGCAGGCTGGTGTGGCTGCTTGAGTGTGGGACCCCCTTAGTTTACTCACACCCTCCACACTCATGCTAGCTCTTACGCTGTGTTTCAACCCCTGTGTCAGCAATCGTTTGGAATGCCGGGATGTTGAGGGCAGGAGGGCATCATCATCCCTGATGATGCCCATCCCTGATGCTGCCCTCATCCTGGGTGAACATTTGGACAAGTATTGTACGTGGTGTAGCCAAGAACTGTTCATGTGTTGAGAGTCGGGTGTACTGAAATGTTCTGATATGTTTGTGTCTTCATGTCAACTTGCAGCGCGACCAGGCTAAAGCGCTGGTAAGGTCATATTAGCTAGGTGTGCTCATCATGACATTGTCAGAGATGGTGGTGGTGGTGGTGGTGATGTGTGTGTGTGTGTGTGTGTGTGTCGTCAGGCGAAATAGCACGTCATAGTACATTTGAGATCAGCGGGAAGAAGATGACGACGTCCACTAATTTCGTATCTGTGCACACGAATCTGCTGTGTGTGTGACTCTGTGTGTCAGCTATGATATCATCTTCTGTGGTTCCATGCCTAGCATGTACGTCTGAACCATCCTGCAAAGTTTGAATGACGTAGGTTGAGCGATCGCTCCGCGAAACATACTTTTTGAAAATCTCTTCATAGTATATCTTCCACCATTGAAATTTCGAATTTCTTCCAAAAAAGTGCTGAGAGGGGTGGCTTGCAACCTCAATATGGCTTGTTCCAGGCATGCTTTGGAGCCATCTTCTGTTGAAGTAGTGGCGGGGATCTGCCCTGCAACTGCTACAACAAAAAATGATTCGATCTGAGAAAGGGTGAGACCGCGAATCTCGGTTGAATATTGAGTATTTCAAGCCTTTTCACGACGAAGATGGATTTCTTTTTGGAGATGGACGTCGCGGCAAAGGACATGGTGTCCGACTTCTGGCGTCTGGTGAAGCCAGGGATCATTTGTCCAGTCAGGTCGGCAGCCTAACCGTCGGTAAGCTTGTGTTTGGATCCCGTTCTGCTCGATGTGGTAGATCACAAACAATTTGATATCGCACAAATTGATCTCAGCATCGTGCGTACGGTATTTTATATTCAGAAAATCCCAAAGTGTCTCTGTGTGGCCGTCCTATGCCACGAGAAACTCCAATCAGGCTCCTATGTCCTCTGCCTTCATTATTGAATGTCCACTTCGTTTGAACAACGAACACAACAATCGAGGACGGCTTTGCAATGAAAAATACAGCTATACTGGAGCTGAAAAAAAGAAGAAAAAAACGTGCTCAGGATGAGACTCGAGTACAAGCATACTCTCCCAGCAGGTGAAACGCAAATTTTTGTGAAAAATGCGTGTCACCGACTGACCAGTAATTTCGCCTGACGTGTGTGTGTGTGTGTGTGTGTGGAGGGGGGGGGGGGGAGGGGGGGGGGGGGTGGCGCGGCACTGTTTTGAAGTCCTTCTTGCCCCGCAGGGGGTTCGGTTTGCGGATGCCGTCACATGATCCATGGGCTATTGATGCCTGCATGAAAACGTGGAAGCGTTGAGTTCGCCATGCATACTCGAAATATAAACGCAACAGAAGAAAATGGTTCGTTTCATCAATTGCCACGTGACACTCCGATCTTGTTCAGCGAATGCTCTGAACGGGATCGGAGTGCACTGTTGAGTCAGAGTACATTCTATTCAAAAGTCTTGAATCAGAGCAGGGGCCCTGAGCTGGCTGCTCTCTTACTAGGACTAAGGTGCATGCCTGTGCTCTGTAGTCATGGCAACTCCCAAGCTGTGCTCTGTAACTCTGTGATTTAAAGATATTCCTATGCAAATAATTGATGTTTTGCCAGTATTTGAGCTGTGCTCTGTGGTGCTCTGAAGTTGTGCCAGTATTTGAGCTGTGCTCTGTGGTGCTGCTTTCTCGTGTTCTTCTGTGCTTTGTCATAAACCTTTAGGAAGCTGCTGCTGCTGGAGAGGTAAGACATAACGAATGGTAGCTCATTGTGTTTTTGATGTTGCTTTTTCTTGAGCAAGCCACGTACACGCACGCGTACACAAACACACACACACACACACACACACACACACACACACGCACACAAACACACACATACATACACAAGCACGCATTGCGCTAATGCATGCTCGCATGCCCATGCTGCATGCCCGCACACACACAGCTCACGTAGTCATGTTCTTTCCTTTCAATGTATACATCGGTATGTTGTGATTGGTGAAGTCATGTCTAGCCTGGTCGTTCTTCGGTGCTCCGTTCTTTGACATTCATGACACAGACCTTCATGCAAGAAAAACACAGGAGAGTGAACAATCACTCTCGCTATCCTCTCAAGGAGAGTGGTGGGAGAGCAGTCCCCACCACCAGACGCGTGCGCCGGTGCCCTTCAAGGAGGGGGGCGTCCCCGCGGGAAAATTTTCAAAAGATGAAGCAAAATCCTGCATTTTGAGCGAGGAACCTATACGGGGCACGTGCCTGACCACCCTCCTCCCCCCCCCCCCCCCAAAATCGCTCGCCTTATCTATCCAAGGCGAGAACAATACGGATTTTTTCAACATCTCGCCATACCCCAATCGGATTCGACACGCAATACTCAATAGCTGCCAAATAATTAATTCGTTCTGGAAAATCGCCGTACGCACTACAAATGGAAGCTGTTCGGACCACAACTTAAGTTTCCCTTCATCAATATGACAATCTCAAGCATTCTGGGAAGCTACATCATGTATTGGCAAGAAGAACACACCAGTGGGACTTTCACCAGCTGGAGTGCTACTGCAGTGGCACTATAGCCCTAGCTGGGAAGACACGGGCAACGGGAAATTGAGACAATTCGCTAAGATCCATGGTATTTTTGTAGTATTCATCGTAGAGCGCTCCTTTCTTTTGCAGCTGACCGCTAAAGACCTGTGCCTGACGTCATACAGGTCTATGCATGCCTGGAATGTCATGTCACGCAACAGAGGGAAATCCTTTATGTCGAAATTATGATTGCCACCCAAGTGCAGAAGTGAAAATTTGCAACGGGACGTAAAATGCCTTGCGAGTGCCGTAACTCCACTATCGACCTCGGATCGACTTGGGATTTGTTGGAGCCGACAGCTGAGAACTTTCTAATGCAAATAGACCTTTCGATTACTCAATTCCGTGCAGCCGGGAAAGTCGGGTTACGAAATATTTGAGTGTTTGCAGAATGCACTTTATAGTGATGCGGATGCGCTCAAACTTCTCAAGGCACGCGACGAAAAGTGCGCCCAAAATGAAAATAAAGAGATCGAAGGCGCGCGAGATCGATCGCTCTCCTTTTACCAGATGCTCTGTGACATCATCACTGGCTATTCATTACATCATCAATGTCTATTAATGACATCATCATTGTCTATTCATGACATTTGAAAGTACTTCCTCGATGGATCCCTCCATGTGAACTTTGGACTCTGGCAGCTCCTTGCCAGCTATTTTGACATGTGGAGCGTCCTAACAATCACACTAATCTGGAAATATAAAATACCACCAATGATGTTGGTACAGTAGTTTATAGGGGGGGGGGGGGGGGTGTTGAATGATGATATAATGTTCTGAGTGTTGTCTGGTAAGGACTGTTGTCTGATGATTGGTTTTTGCCATGAAACTCTGAGTAACAACGAAACAGCCCTATTTTACTTCCTTTTGTGTACCTCTTGAGTGTGGTCTAATATACGGTACAATATTATTTCTGTGTCTATGTGTCGTATTGCAGCGCAACGAGGCCGCAGCACTTGTAAGGACTAACGTGTTTAGATATTATTATCACAGGGCATTGTCTGAAGTGTTTGTGGTGGTGGGGAGGGGGGGGGGGGGATTTTGACTGTTTAGAACCCGGAATTGACAGTTGGGTGAGTGCATGGAGCAAACAACAGTTTTCAGGTGACGCCAGCAGGTACATCAGGAAAGCTTGACACTGCATGAAAAAGTTTTGCGTGTGCTATTGGTGCCAGCATGGCAATCAGGCCAGTGTTGTATGAGCAGTTGATGCATTTCATGGAAACAAGACAGTGTTTCACGTGCCATGCATACTCGAAAGAGAAGTGCCGCTTGGCTCTCTGATTCTGATCACAAAACCCTGCAAACAGGACTGGAGTGTACTCTTGAATCAGAGAGCATTCTTTTCTTGAATCAGAGAGCATTCTTTTCTTGAATCAGAGTGATAGCCCTGAGCTGCCTGGGCTCTCTCAGGCTGACTGAATGCAGGTCCTTGGTACTGATGGGTAGAGGCGACGGTTTCAAATAGGAAATAGGTTGCAAACCGGAACGGACTCAATATTCACTTTCTCTCTTGGTATTTTGATTAGAAAACATATGTCACAGTGAGACTACGATGTGTTATACTCCGAGCCAAAATTTCATGGCTCTGCGATGACCAGAAGCGCCATATCAAGCAGGTGAGTTTTTGACGTGTTGCTTCGCACTGCGACTTGAGTTTTACGACTTTCGAAAAATCAACTTCTTGTCGCAGGTAAACAGCGGCTCGCCTCTCGACAATAAAGCACCGCATACCAATCAAAACTAATGGAAGCACACACAAGGCTTATTGTTACTCTGTACTGGCCGTCGTGGAGCGATAGCAATTACCTAATTTCAGACCCAGAGTGAATTTGACGGGCACTCTAAAACGTGTCCGGTTTGGAGCCACCTCTGATTTGAACTTTTTTGAAGCGAAAAATTGGGCAACTTGGAGGCAATGGGTCAACACAAAGGAGTGTGTTACTGAATTGTTACTACTACTACTAGCTTAATTAACCACCCCTGCATCCAACCCTTGGCATGCTACAACCGACAACCGTTGCAAACTTGGGTGAGAGAATACATACAGTAGATTCAGTATAAAATTGGAAAGAAGATCATCGAAAAAATCAAAAAGGCAGCTGCATCAGCATGCAGCTGCGCATCAAAATCAAATGTAAAGATGGCGACCATGAACGACTGCGACGTGGATAAACTGCAAAACAAACTAGTGCAGCGACACTGACTCGACTGAGTAAAGAAGCGGAGAAGACGAAACGGCAAGGAAAGCGGATCGCTACGATCGCTCAAATGCACTAGCCTAGAGCGTGCATCATGTGCATAGCGCATGCAGTCAAACGGTCACGTGATAAGTGCGTACACAAGTCATACGTCATAATAATGCAGTTGACAAAGAAAAGGAAACAAAGCTGAGCGCGAGGCAAACAAATCTGCAGAGCGCGAAAATATAAACACATTGAACGAAGGATTTGTTTGAGAACAAAATGCACAGGCAGACAAAGAAGAAACAGTTCGAAGCTAGAAGTAGTAGTAACAATTCAGTAACAAGTGGCTCAGTTCGATTGACTCTGGCCCCAGAGCAAACTTCAACATGCCAGTTTCCTTCCACAAACATATTTCGAGTGAAAAATCAACGTTGATGATCGTTTTGGGTCTATACAAATTTGGCTGTCAAAACGTTCCGGTATCGAGCCGTCTCCTCTACTCAGGGGCGTAGCTGGTCCCCCTTTGGGGGGGGGGGGGGGGGGTGCATGGCCGCATATGTGTAGGATGGTTGGTGCATTTCATCCATGGAAATTACGTGCATGCTGAACCTTGGTCGAAATTTTTAGGGGGGGGGGGGGCGTACCCCCCTCCCCCCTTGCCCCATGCGGGATACGCACCTGGGTACTCCCAATATGTGCTCTGTGGTATTGCTTTCTCGTATTTTTCTGTGTTTTTCCCGATGGATGTACAGGAATCTGCTGCGGCTATAGAGGTAAGTAGGAATGAATGCCGAATGGTAGTTTGTCCAATTTTTTTGCTTTTCTTGGCTAAGTCTTGTACTGAGTGGGCTAATGTGCCTTCTACTCGTTGTCAAGTTCGCATCTATGTGTACATGTACTAGTAGTATGATTATTAACCCGACTGCTGCATGGACGATAAGTGCTGCGAATCGTGATCATGCACCCTGGCCTGAGTAGCTCGCTTGGCTAATTGAAAGTCTGCCGACCTGGGCCACATTATGTTGCTAATACATGCACAACCCCAGTCACAGCGCACAAGTAGTTGGTTGAGTTTGGCCGTCAGGAGGCCAGCGCAAGGTATCCGGGGCGCGGGTCTGATTCCAGCGAGGGGCAATGTGGTACCCCGCAGCGCAAGGGTAGCGTGATACCCTAAGCCAACGTGCGTGCTGCATGAGTAGCGTGATACTCGCCGAGCGCTTTTGCTGTTGCCTAGCAACGCGTTTCTGTCTTTCCTGGGCCCCCAAATGCATGTTGGGTGGCCCTGCGCATGACTGCACGTTGTCATAGCAACCTTGGAAATCTCAAGCCGGTTACCAACAAGCTAGGAATCAGACCAAGCCGCCGAATGCCCCCGCCGGCCCCCAGCGCTTCATTGCCATTGAATAATTAATATGTTGTCCAGAATAGTGAGCTAGGACAGATCAAATACAATGTAGCTTGGAGTACCATCATGCTGAGTGGCACTCATTGTGAGACGTATGATAGTGTAGAGCGATAATAAATACCAGGAGGCGTGGGTGGGAGGGAGAAATTGCAAAACAGTTGGATGCACGCAGCAGCACAGCTAGCAAGAGAAAGAGCCGTGGATGGGTTTGTTCCTGTTTTTGATGGCTGTGGCCATCCGTTCGCCCAACGGTCTCGTGTGAGTATGGCGTTTGTTTGTGCTGCCAGCTCGCGTCCGGCGTTTGTTTGTGCTGCCAGCTCGGGCCCGGTGCGCGAGTGAAACCGAACCGTGACAAAGGCTTTCGCTCTTTAGTGCTATTGACTGGCTTTTCATACGATGCCTATTGATGTCTAGAGACATGCTGTCTAGCCTTCCCCTGGTACGCATTCACGGGGCTTTGTTGAAGTTCGTGCCGTGAACTGCCAAAGGGAATTGTTTGAATGGTGCTGGAGCGAGTGCGACATTACGGCGTCCCTGCAGCCGGCCTAATCGCGTTTGTTGCCACAACCGATTTTATTATTATTATTATACACATTCCCGCGTTGAAGTGTAGCAGCAGTATGCTGCGTCCACAGCTTCGCTTATGCAGAATGGCTTGGGTGAGAGGAGAGGGGAGAGAAAGCAACAAGGCAACCAACATCTATGAAATAGGTCACAATAACATGAAGAGAACCAACCTTATTTGAAGAGAGTCACCAGTCAGCCATGCAAATCTGAGCAGGAAGAAAACTGTGAAGTGTCCGGCGCGGCGCATGCGCCTTCTGTGTTAACTTATTTTTGCGTGTTCGCAAAAATTCATGAAAACTCAGTTACTCAATACAGGTTCCACTAGATTACAAGAGAACAACGCTACAACATTATAATTGCCGCTAAATTATCGCAAGTGTAGAGAACGAGTCCAATACAAATTAAAACCATGAACAGACTGTCCCGAAGTTATTTTTGGAACAAATTGTACTACATGTACTTGCCGACACTGACGCTGACGGAACACGACTTTGAGTTGAATACGCACGAAGTCTTGTACATGTACATCATTATTCTCCGATGTTGTGGAGTAAGCAGGTACGTCAGTCACCAATCCAGCTTCAGCTCCGAGCTCGCTTCAGCAGAATGTTGCCTGCGTTTGCTTTGCCTCCACACGGATAGACAGCCAGCGCAGAGTCCCGCAGCTCTGTAAGGCCGTAAGGTCTGGATATTCGCCGTTAGTGCCGCCAAGTCGCAGTCCACCTCTAACAGCAAGACGCTCTATGAAAATCTTTCTCTCTCCATTGGAGTGCTCCCCAGTTGCGTGAGGAGACCAGAGAAATTAATATGATTGCTAACGTTAATGTGACAAGAGTCTCATACCGTAGAATCCCGCGGATAAGCCCACCCACGTATACGCCCATGCTCGCGCATAAGCCCAGGGTTAGTTCGAACATCACACAGCTTCATCGTACAAGCCCATGGGCCTAGGTCATACCAAGAGTCCATAAATTATGGACTCTTGGCCATACCAGGTACGTAGTCATGCACATTATAGCTTTTTTCGTACATTTCAGCACAACCATCGGTTGTTTTTGTTTGCACAGTGGTTTTCAGCAATGTACTTCTCACTTCCTTGATACTTTTCAATAGCACAACTTGGTGTCGGCGTATAAGCCCATGCCCGCGTATAAGCCCATGTTCTCGTATAAGCCCACCGAAATGTCCTTGTGAAACAGATAAGCCCATGGGCTTATCCGCGGGATTCTACGGTATTTGAGAGATGTCAGCTTGTTTAGAGATGAATCGTGCTCTCCTTCCTTATGCTTGTATGAGCACAGAAACTCATGCGCACACACACACACACACACACACACACACACACACACACACACACACACACACACACGCACGCATTTACGTGCATGGACGCATGTAACATGCCCGTACGCAAAGTGTTCAAAAAGATGAAAAGTTCTGAGTGCCGTCTAATATGCGTTGTTATTTCCTGTGTCTGTGTGTCAATGTTCAGCGCAACGATGCCGCAGCACTGGTAAGGACTAGCGTGGTAGATTGTCAAAGGCAGTTGGGGAGGGAGGTTGCAGCACTGTTATGTATGTAGTCTTTCATCCCACTGCTTTAGGAGCTGTGGCCTTGCACGAGGAAAACATGGATGCAGTGAATGGGATTTTCGGTCTTTGACCACATGCTGGTGAGCTGATCTACTCACCTCCCACCGCTTTAGGAGCTGCATCTGCGCCTTGATCCTTAAAGGGTGGTGGCGTTCCTACGGATGCGGAAAACTCGGCTTCTATATAGAGAAACCGAGTCGCACGCGAACCGTGAAATTTTTTTCAGGAGCTACATCTGCACCTTTGGTATTTGTAGGGTGGTGGCGTTCCTACGGCTGCTGAAAACTCAGTCTCAGTCTGAAGTGGACCGTAAAATGTTTCCTACCCACAGGGTTCAGGTTGTTGTGGCCGCCACATGGTCTACAGTTCTCGATGCGTGCATGGAAACGGGGAGATGTTCCACGTGCCATGCATACTCGAACGAGGAGCATGACAGAACTATCCCCTTCATAAAATTCCACATTTAATAGCACTGTAGTATTGTTCAGATAACATCCTGAACAGCTTCGGAGCTTACATTTCAATCAGAGTACATCTTTTCTTGAACCAGAGCGAGGTCCCTGAACTGGTAGCTCTCTCACTGTGTGCAGGTACTTGGTATTAATGGGAACTCTAAAACTCTACTCTGTGGTGTTGCTTTCTCGTGTTTTCTGTGCTTTCCCCATGGATATACAGGAAGCTACTGCTGCTGCGGAGGTAAGTAGGAATGAGTCCGAAATGATAGCTGAACCTTGCAAACACATATTTCAGCCGCAACAAATTTTAGGCCTCGAACGCTCAGGCCGAATATCGCCGAAAATATATATATGTGCCAAATATCCAATGCTGTAGACAGCAAGCTGTTTTGGCCATAAAGGCCTCATCGGTACAGCTACGAGCTTTAAGCAAGCCAAGCTACCAGCCATGGTGTTCCGAATATCTGTTGATTTACAGCACAGTAGGATAGATGACTGTATTTGGTGCCCAACATGTGCAGTGTACTACTTCCTCTACAAGAGAGCAAATAATTTTATTTAACTGTGACAGGTCTCTGAGAGTGCTTCATCAGCAATTTTGACACGTCTGGCATCCTATGAGCCACACAAACCTGCCAGTATCAAAAAGATTAACAGCGTAATACCGACGCGTACTGGCGAGCCTGCTGGTACTTGATAATGGCAGATTAGTGTGGCTGTTTAAGTGCCGACCCCCTCGCCCCCCCCCCCCCCCCCCCCGCCCTAACAACAATGACGCCTCAGGCAGATGTAACTTACGGTAGAACCGAGAATTGACACATTGCGTGCATGGAATATACAGCTGCATGGTTTCAGCTGATAAGCAGGAGCATCAGGAAAGCTTGGCGCTGTATGAAAACAGGAAACTGCGCATGTGCTATCGGTGTCTGCATGAAAATAGGGCACTCATTGTTGATCGAGTGACTAAATCACGCAATAACATAATTCATGACCTTGATAAACTGTGAAAACAGTGCAGATCCCATGCTCTGCTTCTTGACCTTCCAGCCGCAGCAGTCTGCAAGATCTCCTCCCATTGCAGGAACTCCACCAACTCAAAGATCCCAATCTGCTACAAGACCTCCACCTGCTGCATCAGCTGAAATAACCCCATCTGCTGGAAGACCCATACCGAATGGAAGATCTCCACCAGCAAGAAAATCCCTTCCAGTTCCCAGATTGCCATCAATTCCGAGATCTCCGTTAGCTTTAAATTCTCCACCACCAGCAACAACTCCATCTACAGCATCTCCAATAGCTAAGGCATCTCTAGCAACTACGGCATCTCCAGTTGCTACATCATCTCCATTAGCTCCAGTATCTTCAATAACTACAACATCTCCAGGAGCTTTAAGACCTCCTGTAGCTACAGGATCTCGAGTAGCTACAGGATCTCCAGTAATTACAGCGTCTGCTGGAGCTGCGCGTCCTCCATCAGCTACACGATCTCCAGTAGTTACAGCCTCTCCAGGCGCTGCAAGGCCTCCATCGGCTACAGAATCTCCAGGAGCTACAACGTCTCCAGTAGCTACAGCACCTCAAGGAGCTGCAAGCCTGTGTGTGACCTCCTGCAACTACAGCATCTCCTGTAGCTGAAACATCTCCAGGAGTTACACGACCTTCAGTGGCTACAGCACCTCCAAGAGCTGCAAGATCTCCATCAGCTGCAGCATCTCCAGGAGCTACTAGACATCCAGTAGCTACAACATCTCCAGGAGCTACAAGACCTCCAGTAGCTACCGCATCTGCTGTAGCTACAGCATCTCCTGTAACTGCAAGGCTTCCATTGGCAACAGCATCTCCAGGAACTGCTAGACCTCCAGGACCAGGAGCTACAGTGTCTCTAGTAGCTACAGCATTTCCAGTAGCTGCAAGACCTCCTGTAACAACAGCATCTCCGGCAGCTGCACGACCTTCAGTGGCTACAGCACCTCCAGGAGCTGCTAGACCTCCATCAGCTGCAGCATCTCCAGGAGCTGCAGCATCGCAAGGAGCTGCAGAATCTCAAGGACCTGCAGCCTCTCCAGAAGCTGCAAGACCTCCAGTAGCTACATCATCTCCAGTAACTGCAGCATCTCCAGGAGCTGCAAGACCTATGGTAGCTACATCGTCTCCAGTAACTACCGCATTTCTTGGAGCTGCAAGACCTCCATCGGCTAAAGCATCTCCAGGAGCTACAAGACCTCCAGTAACTACAGCATCTCCAGGAGCTGCAAGACCTTCAATAGCTACAACATCTCACGGAGCTGCAAGACCTCCAGTAGCTACCGCATCTGCTGTAGCTACAGCATCTCCAGTAACTACAGCATCTCCAGGAACTGCAAGACCTTCAATAGCTACAACATCTCCAGGAGCTACTAGACCTCCAGTAACTACAGCATCTCCTGTAGCTACATCATCTCCAGTAACTACAGCACCTCCAGGAGCTGCTAGACCTCCAGGACCAGGAGCTACAGTGTCTTCAGTAGCTACAGCATCGCCCTGTAGCATCGACAGTAGCTACAGCATCTCCAGGAGCTGCAAGACCTCCAACGGCAACAGCATCTCCAAGAGAAGGTAGACCTCCAGGACCAGGAGCTACAATGTCTCCAGTAGCTACAGCATCGCCAGTAGCTACAGCATCTCCAGGAGCTACAAGACCTCCTGCAACTACAGCATCTCCAGTAGATGCAGCATGTCAAGGAGCTGCAAGACCTCCAGTAGCTACAGCATCTCCTGAAGCTACAACATCTCCAGGAGCTGCACGACCTTCAGTGGCTACAGCATCTCCAGGAGCTGCAAGACCTCCAATAACTACAGCATCTCCTGTAGCTACATCTCCAGGAGCTGCACCACCTTCAGTGGCTACAGCACCTCCAGGAGCATCAAGACCTCCATTGGCTACAGCATCTCCAGGAGCTACTAGACATCCAGTAGCTACAACATCTCCAGGAGCTGCAAGACCTCCAGTAGCTACCGCATCTGCTGTACCTACAGCATCTCCAGTAACTACAGCATCTCCAGTAGCTGCAAGGCCTCCATTGGCTACAGCATATCCAGGAGCTGCACGACCTCCAGTAGCTAGCGCATCTGCTGTAGCTACAGCATCTCCAGTCACTACAGCATCTTCGGTAACCGCAAGGCCTCCATCGATTACAGCATCTCCAGGACCTGCTAAACCTCCGGGACCAGGAGCTACACTGTCTCCAGTAGCTACAGCATCGCCAGTAACTACAGCATCTCCAGTGGCTACAGCACCTCCAGGAGCTGCAAGACCTCCATCGGCTTCAGTATCTCCAGGAGCTGTTAGACCTCCAGGACCAGGAGCTACAGCATCTCCAGTGGCTACAGCACCTCCAGCAGCTGAAAGCACTCGTACAACTACAGCATGTCCTGTAGCTACAACATCTCCAGGAGATGCACGACTTTCAGTAGCTACATCACCTCCAGGAGCTGCTAGACCTCCATCAGCTGCAGCATCTCCAGGAGCGGCAAGACCTCCAGTAGCTACGGCATCTGCTGTAGCTACATCATCTCCAGTAACTTCAGCATCTCCAGGAGCTGCAAGACCTACGGTAGCTACATTGTCTCCAGTAACTACGACATTTCCAGGAGCTGCACGACCCCCACCCGCTACAGCATCTCCAGGAGCTGCAAGACCTCCAGTAGCTACCGCATCTGCTGTAGCTACATCATGTCCAGTAACTACAGCATCTCCAGGAGCTGCACGACCTTCAGTGGCTACAGCATCTCCAGGAACTACTATACATCCAGTAGCTACAACATCTCCAGGAGCTACACGACCTCCTGTAGCTACCGCATCTGCTGTAGCTACAGCATCTCCAGTAACTACAGCATCTCCAGTAACTGCAAAGCCTCCATTGGCTACAGCATATCCAGGAGCTGCACGACCTCCAGTAGCTACCGCCTCTGCCGTAGCTACAGCATCTCCAGTAACTTCAAGGCTTCCATTGGCTACAGCATATCCAGGAGCTGCTAGACCCTTAGGGCCAGGAGTTACAGTGTCTCCCATGGCTACAGCATCGCCAGTAGCTACAGCATCTCCAGTGGCTACAACACCTCCAGGAGCTGCAAGACCTCTTGCAACTACAGCATCTCCTGTAGCTACAACATCTCCAGTAGCTGCACGACCTTCAGTGGCTACAGCACCTCCAGGAGCTGCAAGTCCTCCATCAGCTACACCATCTCCAGTAGCCACAGCATCTTCAGGAGCCTCAAGACCTCCAGTAGCTACATCATCTCCAGTAACTGCAACATTTCCAGGAGCTGCAAGACCTACGGTAGCTACATCGTCTCCAGTAACTACGGCATTTCCTGGAGCTGCAAGACCCCCATTGGCTACAGCATCTCCAGGAGCTACAACTCCTTCTGAATGTGACTCTCCGCTGGCCTTCTCTCCTCCCATCCCCTTACATTGTATTGGGCCTCCGCAGCTCCCCCCCCCCCCCCTCAACGCACACACTACATTGTCACATAGCACAACTCAACCATTCGCTACCCTGTTATTGAGCACTCCTGCTCGTTTGGTCTTGCGAATCCAAATAAAATCAATCAATCCTTCAATAGCTATAACATCTCCAGGAGCTGCAAGACCTCCAGTAGCTACTGCATCTCCAGGAGCTGCAATACCTCCATCAGCTACCGTATCTGCAGTAGCTACAGCATTTCCAGGAGCTGCAAGACCTTCAGTAGCTATCGAATCTCCTGCTACTACAACATATCCAGTAGCTACAACATCTCCAGGAGCTGCAAGACCTCCAGTAGCTACGGCATCTGCTGTAGCTACATCATCTCCAGTAACTGCATCATCTCCAGGAGCTGCAAGACCTACGGTAGCTACATCGTCTCCAGTAGCTACGGCATCTGCTGTAGCTACATCATCTCCAGTAACTGCATCATCTCCAGGAGCTGCAAGACCTACGGTAGCTACATCGTCTCCAGTAACTACGGCATTTCCTGGAGCTGCAAGACCCCATCGGCTACAGCATCTCCAGAAGCTACAAGACATCCAGTAGCTACATCATCTCCAGTAACTACAGCACCTCCAGTAACTGCAAGGCTTCCATTGGCTACAGCATCTCCAGGAGCTGCTAGACCTCCAGTAGCTACGGCATATGCTGTAGCTACATCATCTCCAGTAACTGCAGCATCTCCGGGAGCTGCAAGACCTACCGTAGCTACATCGTCTCCAGTAACTACGGCATTTCCTGGAGCTGCAAGATCCCCATCGGCTACAGCATCTCCAGGAGCTGCAAGACCACCAGTAGCTACCGCATCTTCTGTAGCTACATCATCTCCAGTAACTACAGCACCTCCAGTAACTGCAAGGCCTCCATCGGCTACAGCATCTCCAGGAGCTGCTAGACCTCCAGGACCAGCAGCTACAGTGTCTCCAGTAGCTACAGCATCGCCAGTAGCTACAGCACCTCCAGGAGCTGCAAAACCTCCTGCAACTACAACATCTCCTGTAGCTACAACATCTCCAGGAGCTGCACGACCTTCAGTGGCTACAGCATCTCCAGGAACTACTATACATCCAGTAGCTACAACATCTCCAGGAGCTACACGACCTCCAGTGGCTACCGCATCTGCTGTAGCTACAGCATCTCCAGTAACTACAGCATCACCAGTAACTGCAAGGCCTCCATTGGCTACAGCATCTCCAGGAGCTACTAGACCTCCAGGACCAGGAGCTACAGTGTCTCCAGTAGCTACAGCATCGCCAGTAGCTACAGCATGTCCAGTGGCTACAGCACCTCCAGGAATTTCAAGACCTCCTGCAACTACAGCATCTCCTGTGGCTACAACATCTCCAGGAGCTGCACGACCTCCAGTGGCTACAGCACCTCCAGGAGCTGCAAGTCCTCCATCAGCTACACTATCTCCAGTAGCCACAGCATCTTCAGGAGCCTCAAGACCTCCAGTAGCTACATCATCTCCAGTAACTGCAACATTTCCAGGAGCTGCAAGACCAACGTTAGCTACATCGTCTCCAGTAACTACGGCATTTCCTGGAGCTGCAAGACCCCCATCTGCTACAGCATCTCCAGAAGCTACAAGACCTTCAACAGCTACAACATCTCCAGGAGCTGCTAGACCTCCAGTAGCTACTGCATCTCCAGGAGCTGCAATACCTCCATCAGCTACCGTATCTGCAGTAGCTAAAGCATTTCCAGGAGCTGCAAGACCTTCAGTAGCTATCGCATCTCCTGTGGCTACAACATCTCCAGGAGCTGCTAGACCTCCAGTAGCTACAGCAAGAGCTGCAAGACCTCCAGTAGCTCCAGCATCTCCAGAAGCGGAAAGACCTCCATCAGCTACTGCATCTCCGGGAGCTACAGCACCTCCAGCAGCTACGTCATATCCAGTTGCTACAGCGTCTCCGGGAGCTGGAAGACCTTCGGTAGCTACTGCATCTCCAGGATCTACAACATCTCCAGGATCTACAGCATCTCCAGGCGCTGAAGCATCTCCAGTACAGGGGCGTCGGAAGGTATTATAGTGTGGTACGGTCAGCCATCTGAAGGTCATTTCACTCATGGGGAGAGGGGTGGCTGAGCTGAAAATTTTGGAAATTTGGATCCCAGATCAGTGTATTTTATTCATTCACAGGGTACCTGGGGAAAAGGTGGTACGGTCAATACCGTAGTGACCGCACCGTGTCCGACGCCCCTGCAGTAACTACGACATTCCCGAGAGCTACGGGACCTCCAGTAGGTACAGCATCTCCAGCAGGTGCAAGACCTCCAGTAGCTACCGCATCTCCTGTAGCTCAGTACAGCATCTCCATCAGCTACAGCATTTCCAGGAGCTAAAAGACCCCCAGCAGCCACAGAATCTCCAGTTTCTCGAGCATCTCCAGTAGATACACCATCTGCAGTAGCTACAACCTCTCCACTAGCCGGACGACCACCAGTAGCTACAGCATGTCCAGTAGCTACAGCATCTCCAGTAGGTGCAAGTTCTCCATCAACTGGAAGTTATCCATCAGCTGCGAGATCTCCAAAATCGCAACTGTCGCCTTACCCACTGCCATCACTACCACTATCAGTAGCAGCATTGTCATCATCTTTGTCATCGTCATCATCATCGTCATCTTCGTCGTCTTCCTCATCACCGTTTGCTTCGCCATCACACTCTCCATTCTGCTCATCCTCCACAATCCAACCATCACCATCATCCATACCATAACCGTCTGATGGTCGTGTTTGGAAAGATCAGCAAGGCTGGAAGGTCAAGAACAATAAGTGCCATCTGTTCTCCACTTGTATTTGATTGCTAATATATAAACATGGAGTATACTCCCCTGCTCCGAGAGTGCTTAGTGACCCAAGGCCGAGCTTTCACACAGTAGAGAGGGAGGGGGGGGGGGGGAGAGGGGGATTTACTGTGGAACCTTTCTTGGGCTCCTGTCATATTTCCTGATGACAATCATTAGGCAGCATGGTGTTAGACTCGGCTGGAGAGACAACGATAAAATTTAAAAAGAAAGGACCCTAATGTTACATGTTATCCATAGTTTCTGTCCAACACTAACAGTTATAAGTAAGATGTTGTAAGATGTATGTTGTTGTTTAGTTTAAAGTGGACTGGGTGCAGAACAGGTCTAAACCTACTAACAATGTTTAGAGTGGACTGGGTGCAGATCAGGTCTAAACCTACTAACAATGTTTAGAGGTCTCCTGTTCAGACCACCTGCAGTATGCTAACAGTGTTTGTATATTGTGCTCTATTCTATGCTTGTGCTTCCCTTACGTTACCGGGCAACAGCAAGCGGATGCCGCGCGTATGGTAAGTTGCTCGCATACAACAATAGGCAAGTGTATTATAAGGTCCCCAAGCGTGACGGTGCATTTGCCTGGTATCGAATGCTCTGAAGCTGCATTCGCGCGTGGTTTGGTACGGTGTGTGAATGCATGCTTTGCAGGCTACAGCACTGCATGATGTACTGTTGCATGCGTTATCCAGCTGGAGTCGCTAGACCTCCGGGAGCAGTGCTGACACAGTAGTGGAAACATGGCACGTTCATCCATTGTCGAGCGTTTCTGGCGAGGTCTATGTTACAAGGAGCGGGCTGGCTAGCGATTCAGTTAGGCTGACATTTGTGGACAGCGAGTCCACCTCTGCTACGACACCATTTCCCAAAAGCTTTGCATTCACATGCACCACTCTGCTGTTGCACTGGCTTGCGACGCTCCGCTGTGCACTTGTGGCGCTTAAGGTCGCTTGGTCTAGAGCAGACCTTTCCACAGACGAGGCACTCAACGGGGCCTGCTGCAGCCAGCTCCTTATCCTGGTCTTGGTATCTACATCGCCATTCCATGCGAGATGTGTTAGCGGTCTGGTACCAGTTCACAATCAGGTTATGGCGGAAATCGACAGTCCTTCCGCCGTTTCCTTGATCCATGGGCAGGTTGACAGGTGGGAGCTGGTCGAACAGAAGGCACTTCGGCATGCGGGTGTCATCCATGTGCACCAGGTGACCTAGCCATTCTAGCCGGCGATGCCTGAGTGTACAGGTGATAGTCTCCTGGTCTCCCCACATACACAATTTGTTCGGCATTGCTGATGTGGGCATCCCACATCTGCTGTCTCGACACGCCAAGGATGGAGCGGACGCAACGCATATGGAAATTGGATAGGCATTGTCAGTCGCCCTGAAGGGGGACCCAGCACTCCGAACCGTATATCAGCAAGGACATGACACAGGCGTTGAAAACACACCTCTTCACGAAGACAAGAAGCTGACCATTTTGCAAATACAGGGCGCTGTAAAGCACCACAGGCGTTGGAGGCACTTGCGATGCGGGCGTTGGCGTCCACTGCAGAACGGCTGTTGCTGGCAATGACGGAACTCAGATACCTGAACTCAGGTACATGCTTGATTTCAACATCCGCCAGAGTGAGTGGGATACAGTCTGCATCTTGGATGTTGGCGCCACATACCATGAATTGAGTCTTGGTAGTGCTGACAGTGAGTCCAGTATCCGCAGCAGTCGCCTAGAACACAGAGGGTGCGAGCTGAGCAACGTCACGCGTAGTCGCCAACAAGGCTGAGTCGTCGGCGAACTGGCATTCCCTAAGCCTGGTCGATATCTTTCACGTCGTGGGTTTGCCGAACAGGTTGCCGTCAATGCAATAGCGAACCTCCATGCCGACGCCAGGAACTGTCGACCCTCTACGGGACCAAACAGTGAAAATGGTCCACATGAACAGATTGAAAAGCACGGGGGCCATAGAGTACCCCTGCCTCAATCCTTTGTTGATGGTGATGGGTTGAGTGTGTCCCTGGGACGTGCGGATTGTGGCAGACATAGATGTGTTAAAGGACTTGATGACAGCGAGCAGGGTGTCCGGTACCCCAGCACAAGCAAGCACACGCTGCACACACTCTCTGGGTACTGAGTCGTAGGCCTTGTGCAAGTCGATGAAAATCATGTAGCCTTTTGTGTCATGCTCGAGAGATTTTTCAACAAGGTGCCGCACAGAGAAGATCATGTCTGAGCACGAGCGCCCCCACCTAAAACCACATTGCGAATCGGGCAGCAGGGTCTCCGCTAGCCGCTGGAGGCGTGCCTGTATGGTGGCAGCCAACACCTTCCCCACAACATCCAACACACAAGCACACGCACACGTGCACACACACACCATTGACCATTTGATGCCCGTCGCTAGAGGCGATGATAGCGACGCTACACAAGAAGCCATAGCAGCTTGTGCTGGGATTGCACCATTCAACAGCTTGCAAGGCTGAAGATTTGGCCGCCACTCTTCAACCTGCTGTGTGATGTAGACACACACACACACACACACACACACACACACACACACACACACACACGCACACTTGCATGGTGTACGGACGCGTAATACAAGTAGCATGCCCGCACACAACATAGTCTAAAAAAATGATGAAATATTCTGAGCTTTGTCTAATATGTGCTGGTATTTCTGTGTCTAAATAACCGACGAGGAGACGACAGTCGTAAAATAGCAATGAAAAATATCAATTGTGCACTCATAACCATGTATAAACAATTAAAATGAAACAATTCCAGAACGTTTTCTTGTGACTATCATCAGTGGAACATCGTCACATAGTAAGAATCACTAAAACAACCAGTTATATAGCTAGAGTAATATGAAAAGAAGCGTGAGAATGCAGCACTGCTAGCGGTTATGCATAACGCGTGTAGTGTGAACTTATGCAATGTATCTGAGAATGGTAGCAGTAGATGAATGTGGCAGCAGTGAGTGCGTGTGGACAAAACTGGTGAGTGCGTATTATTTAAAAAGTGTGAGTGCTACAACATTTATTCGCACACGTGACCCTGTGCTATGCAAGCAAAACGAAAATGTTGTAGCACTCACACTTTTTAGATAGTACGCACTCACCAGTTTTGTCCACACGCACTCACAGCTGCCACATTCATCTACTGCTACCATTCTCAGATACACTGCAAAGGTTCACACTACACGCGTTATGCATAACCGCTAGCAGTGCTGCATTCTCACGCTTCTTTTCATATTACTCTAGCTGTATAACTGGTTGTTTTAGTGATTCTTACTATGTGACGATGTTCCACTGATGATAGTCACAAGAAAACGTTCTGGAATTGTTTCATTTTAATTGTTTATACATGGTTATGAGTGCACAATTGATATTTTTCATTGCTATTTCTGTGTCTGTGTGTCTTTTTGTAGCGCAATGAGGCCGCAGCACTGGTAAGGACTAACGTGATGGATGTATCATGGCATTGTCATTGGCGTTTGGAGGGGGTGCAGCACTGTAGCCGGTCGGTGCCATAGTCATGACATGCATATTTTGGAATTCAGCATGTACCTACAAATATCACTTACTCCCCCACTTGCAACTAGTCGTTACACAGACCACATGTCGTGTTTTTTTCTCTTGCAATAGCGCAGGTCTCCAGTAGTAGCATGGATAACGGGGTCAACGAAAAATATGAGCCTCATAGAGAAAATACAGTACATCGTCCTAAGACTGGTTTTCTGTGACTGAGCACGGTGGCCGCACGGGGTGATCGCCCCGGGTAGAATTGGTTCATATATAGTCAGCAGTGTATTTTTTCCTAGTGGGTTGATGGGCAATATCAAGAGTCCAGACCCCAAGAGTATGCAACTCTGCACATGGGGTCTGACGCGGCGCACTGCTCACGTTACGCAGCCACTAACTGGGCAACTAAATATTCCTCCTTACAGCGGGTTCGATCACAAAGATCTCATCATGGAAGGTCGTAAGAATATTATATTGACCGGCTAGAAATTGTAATGGCACCATTTAGCACTATTGTATACAAAGAATAACTGTGAAAACGAATAAGGTGGTCGCCGCGGATTTAGAGAAAGGGACCTGGGTGAGTACTCAGTTATGCAGTCTGCACTGCTAGAACTAGTTTTAAAGAAACTGATGCAATGGTGAACAGGTCAAAAGCTGCTTCTTGCCCTCCAATTAATCTCTCAAACATTAAGGAGGAAAACTTCCTTCTGCCAGCGGAGAGGGCTCAACACAATAAAGTGGAGCACTATGACACACAAAAGACACAATGGAGGTTTACAGAACTCGTCGCAACTCAGAGTTTCTTGCTCAATGCAATCATCAGGCATAGTCGCCTGATGATTGCATTGAGCAAGAAACTCTGAGTTGCGACAAATTTGTAAACCTCCGTTGTGCCTTTTGTGTGTCAAGCATTAAAGAATATTTGTATGATCATGTTGCCTGATGATTGCGAGAGCATGAAACCTGAAGTTGCAGGATAAAAGCCTTGATTGACCTTGTTGTTCTGTATTACGCTCTGCCTCCGCGGTGTTGAGCACTGTCAGCACACTGGGTACATCCTCCGGTGTGTGATCTTATCATACATACCTGTGGCATACTGTGGTTTTTTTTGGTAAACTGTTATTGCAGAGAGGCGTACCCCTCGGCTAAGTGGCTACACAGCGGCTGCCTCAGGATCAACACCAGCACACAATGTCCCCCTGAGGCGAGTGCCAAGATGAACAGATCCAACCGCGAGAGAGATGCAATGGCCGGTGGAGTGATGCTGGTCAGCTGTGGCGCCGTTCTTCAATTCCCGACCATCATAAACAGAAGCTGCACGCGTATTCTCTGTCCTACACTCATTGCATGCATGGCCGGCCTGTATCAGCTCTTTCATGATGTGCCTGTGTTTGCATACACTGTTTTTTTACATGGCGTGTCCTGGTGGTAACCCGTGGCAGGCGAATTCCACAACCATTGCATGTTATTGCTGTGCCGTATTGGCATGTGTGCACTCTCAAAAGCGTTTACATGTATTTGCCTTTGTTCTTTGACACGAAGTTTGCCTGCTTTCACTAGTTACCACTGTCATATGTTTCTAACGTTATTTCATCCAGTTTGAATCAGTTCGAACGACACAAAGGCAACCGACCTTCTAATGATGCATCATAAACTCAACACCGTAGACACCATGCTGTCAGGTCACTGTATTCTTCTCTGAAAATCTCTTCTCACCCTCTGACATTATTATTTCACGAAACAGTGTTCTGTGCTGCGTGTATGTAGAGTCCGCATATCTACGACATTTACTAGTAAGCACCCCTAGTAATGGCTGGTTCATCTTGGTGATTTGACGCTAGACTAGAGGGTACAGACAAGTACTAGTAGCTGGATAACATGAGCAGTCAGCTGATCACCCATGTGACCAATCCCTTGGGTATGGTTGATTACATGATGAGCTAAGCCACTGTACTGCTCCAAGCTCATTATATACAATAACATACTATACTATTATAGGAGTAGATCTACACTAGCTCAGGTACGAACATTATAGGTTTACCCCATACCTGTCAACCTTTGCAAACCTGAGATCAGGACAATGACATACCTATTGCCAGTGTCTGCTCCAGAGCCGGGTGAGCCGGCGCTTGGACCCGGTTGAAAATATAGTACCGGGTCACCTGTGACCCGGTTGGTACTTTACACTTTCGAACTTTGAAAGGACTGACTACATGGCTTGTATGTGTCAGATACTTCTTCTTCTTTCGTAATTTTCTAATTCCTGTTCTCTCTTTTCTAAATGCGGCTTATCCATTCGCCTTTACATCATTGGGCCTAGTTCCCGTTTATTGTCCGAATGAAAATAAACCAACCAACCAGTTAAAGCATGTGACTCGGCTGGTGAGACAGCGCCAGGTACATGTGTACCCGGCTCCAACCCGGTTGAAATGGTTGCGCCAGGTACACGTGTACCCGGCTGTCCTACAATCCTAGAGCAGACACTGATTACATGTACCTAGGTATGATGAGAATGTGTACAAATGTAGCCGTGAGGCATGCGACAAATGAACTTTTGGGTGCCTATTACCACCCTCGATGTTGGGACGGTCCCGGCCAAATTGGGATGGTTGGCACTACTGAGGTATGTGTAACAATTATAGCCACAGAGCTTTCGGCCATATTTCCAATTTATTGCATTCCTAACTCGTCACAACCACGCACTCTCAGCTGAACCATAAAGACACCAGCAAGGACACTTCCGTTCAGAGATAATAATTATTTTTCCACGCCTCTAGACAGCTGTTTCGCTCCCTGCCGCAGCTCATCAGTAGAGGATGAGTCATGATATTAAAAAAATCACAGTTCGCGTGAGACTCGGCTGGAAGCCGGGTTTTCCGCATCCGTAGAGTCATGATAATAATGGAGTGTAAATGGAGTGTAAAGGAATGATCATTCTTATACAAATAGAACATAAACACCATAAAAAAACTTGCTAGGTATGTTACCCGCACGACGGTTGTTATTCGCGCATTCTTCCTCCGGCAGGCTGCCCGTCTAAACCGTCTGTCTCCATCATAACACCTTCCGCTCAAAGGTGCTAACCACAAACCGACTTTAGGCCACCCTTTCTTTTTTCGTTGTTTAACGTCCGCGCCCGCGTACCTTTTTGCCTCCGACCGGAAAAAAAAACAAGAAAGTAGTAGTACCAATAATATGCGAAGTTGTAAATACATGATTGTGTAGTTTCACAGTGTGCCGATCATGACCTTAAACTTATAATCTTGCCTCCCGGGCATGCCTTTGTCTTGTGTTCTTTTTCTTTTTTTGTTGGCTTTTAAATATCGTACGGTGTGTGTCCTAGTAAAAATCCAGATGTAATGAATTCATGACATGCTAACTCCATGCTATGTACCTGTTTTGTTGGATTCATCAGGCATGTGCTCCAATGTACCATCAAAGAGTGTTGTTCTATGCCTGCAAGTGCCGTTAGACCCAGAAATATTGTATATATCACATGCTTTACTGGTCAAAATGTTTGATTGGGGTTTCCAGTTTTTGGAATGGGCTTTTGTTTTTTTTCCGCCCTCCCGCGTACCTTTTCGCGAAAAAAAGGACGTTAAACAATGAATTAACAAAGGGTGGCCTTACACTGGAGACTGGAGTCTGCGGATGGCGGTCTGTGCGCAGAAATCCCAGTTCGAGTAGTGTGCGTGTGGCCAACACGTACAATTATGTAGATCTACTACAGTGCTGGCAACTGAAATCCGACCCCCCCAGCGGTGCGCTAGCCGCGTTAGCGATTCGTACGAGACGCTAGGGGGTCGGATTTCAGTTGTCAGCACTGTAGTACAAAGTACAAAGTCATGTAGCCATTGTAGGTCTACATGAATGCCCGCGGAACCAAAATCCTCGGTGCGAACGGGCCGAGCAGCGAGGTGCACTTTCCCACCTTGTGAACTGTAATCTTACTTGTCCCGCGCAGGTTGCTCGTCGACAACCGAGCTTGATGAAAAGAAACCATGTGCTTGACTTCGCCCATTTTCTTATTCTGCATGCGCTGCGCGACACCACATTTTCAGTGCTTTGTCGAAAAAGGAGCGAGAAGTAGAAGCTTGGTTTCTGCTCCTCCTTCCGTAAGAAGCCGAAGCCCTCCCTCCCTTATTCCTCCTAAATATCTATTACCAGTTACTTCAAACTCAAAGAACTGTCCAGGCCCCTTCTCTTCCGCACCGCACGCACTATGTTGACTTCACAAGGAGCGTGACACTGTTAGCGGTAAGTCGCTGTGTGAGAGCTATTTCTCTCTTTTGGTGCGGCTTTCCGTGTTGTCATATTTTGGTAAAATATTTGCTGACAATGCTCTAACTCACCCGGCGTTGGCCTCACTTCCAGTACTTCCGAACGCTGCTATTCAGCTGTTCTTAGTTGTTCGGTCACACACCACCAGTTTCCGCACCGTGCCGTGTTGTAATGTTCATTTTCTTCTGACTTTCCCGTTTCACTTCCTCAAACTTACGAAATTCTCTTTCTCTCTCTATCACTTGCTCGCAGAAGACCTGGTTACCAAAATATACTGCAACCTTCCGAGAAGAGGAAAGCAAAGACTCCGCAAATCCGCAGCAAGTCTCGGTTGTTCTGACTTGCCGATGAATACACCACTATACACGTACTGTAGCGCGGAGCGTATCACTTGGCAGAGGATACTACTGCGGTTATGGTGAGTTTCCCTAAACTTTTTAAAATACGGACATAACCATGACTTACAAAGTAGTCCGTCATCACCCGTGTGTCATTCAACGGTCCCAGTAAATACCGTACTCGCGCGATTAGAGCCCTCTCTTGAATAGTGCCCTATCAGAGTCGAATAGTGCCCTAGTCTCCAAGAGCCAGTGAAAAATAAAGCCCTCTCTTGAATAGTGCCCCCCCCTGGTCTTGTAACCAAGCCCACGTGCAAGTTTGGTGTTCTTTTGCTAATGTTCTTGGCCATTGCTTTGCACTGGTGTTTTCAGGAACAAAATCGCAGGTCTTTTCCCGTTTCTGTGGAGTCGTGAGCGTTTACAGTACACTTTAGGCTCTGTTTTTGTTTTTGTTTTTGCTGGATGACGCAAATGTACCAGTGTAGCGTGGCCCAAGTGGTTGGGCACACAACAACCAACAAGTCTCACCAGAGCAAGGAGAAGTGGTTGAAGAAATGAAGGATGATCTTTCTTCAGAGACAGAGCTTTTTATATGTGCCAAGACTAAGAGAGTTCAGGTTTCACATAACAACGAGCAACGGTTTAGACCAATCAGGAGATAGAGAGATGGCACAGATTCGGCCAATCAGAAGACATGTATTGGAAGAAAGTAAAGAAAAAAAGGAAAGCTTCTGAAAAAGGTAGGTTCGAACTTCACATGCAAAGGATACTAGTCTTATTACTGTACAGGTTTTAACACACGAAGCTACAGTGACACAGGCACTAGACTACAATGCAACAGGTACAAGGTTGAAGAATCTGCATGCTCTACATGGCCCCCTCCCAGATTGAATCACGTCCTCGTGATAATGTGAATATTGTAAAAATAAAAATGAAACGAAAGAACCCAAGGAAGAAGCTATATAAACTGTGTGTTAAATGCCAACCCAACACTATATCTAAAAAAACTCAAATCTCAATCTCTCAAATCTTCACAAGAAAATTGTACACATCAATAGTTCTTGGCTCTCATTGACGGTATCGCACCGGCCTCTGGAGATTTGCCTGATTGCGTAAGTTATACCCACCTGCCTGTGGCATGATCGGAACGGCCGGCACAACGGGAGCTGCCGGAACAGCCGGGACTGGAACAGCCGGAACTGGAACAGCTGGAACTGCCGGAACTGGAATAACAGGAACTGCCGGAACCGGAACAGGCGGAACTGGAATAGCCGGAACTGCGTCTTGCACGTTATCAATTAGCGCCGGTTGAGGTAGGTGTGCTGGCACTGGAGCGTGCTGCTCCTCCGGTACTTGAGTCGTTGACTTGAGCCGGTTGATGTGCACCACCTGGAGTTTCCCTGTATCACAGTGCTCAATCTCGCCGCTCTCCACCATGGTCAACATAGTGATACATTTCACCCCGCTGATGCATTATTTTCTTCCGATTATCATCTTCTTTCCTTCATTCTTTTTTTTTTCTTCTTCTTCTCTTGCCATGGCTGGCTAACGCCCCCTCCTTTGCATTGGCTTCTGCCATTGGACGGTGAAATAATAATAATAATAATAATAATAATCCTGTACACCACGTCATCGATCACCTCGACAACTCGATACGGCCCGGTTCATGGCTTGAGGAACTTCTTTGTGTTGCCTGCTTTCACAGCTGGGTTGTGTAAGCGCACCTTGTCATTGATCGCAAACCGTGGCTTGGTCGTCTTTGCATCATAGTAGTCCTTCTGATGTTTCTGTGCTTTAGCGCCAGCTGATCGAGCGTGAGAAAATGCCTGCTGCAAGGAGATCTCGAGACCAATCATATAGTCAATGTCACTGTCTTCCGCTTGAGCTCTGCGAATATCTTCTGCACTAAAAAAATCTGCCCAATTGCTTCCAAGCAAATTGCTATCATCATTCGCATGTTCTGCAGGTTGTGATTCAACGTCAACATTACCCACGTATGCTTGATGTCCAGAATCCTGCGTCAATGCATCACCAGCTGCTGTATCCGGAGAGACTGATGGCACGGCTGTAGGGACAGGAATGGAAGACTGGGAAGGACAGACAACAGTAATATTTGGATCCATTACTGAAGGCTCGGCAGTGGCCGATGCAGGATGCTCCGAATTGTCCGCAGGTTGGCTATGGAACCGTGACAATGCATCTGCGTTGGCATGCTGAGTACCTCTACGGTGGACAGTTGTGAAATCGAACGCTTCTAGTTTCTCCAACCATCTCGCCAGGATACCTTCCGAATCCTTGAAAGACTTCAACCAGAGAAGGGCTTTGTGATCGGTTCGCAAGGTAAAGTTTGCACCCAGCAAATAATGTTTTAAGTATTGCACAAAGAAGACCACTGCATACATCTCACGCCGAGTTGTGCCGTAGCGACGTTGGCTCTTACTAAGTGAACTACTAGCATACGCAATTACCTGCTCTCTGCCCTGATCGTCAACCTGCGATAGAGTTGCACCAATACCAGTGTCAGAAGCATCCGTGTCCAGGATAAACTTGCGGGATGGATCCGGGTACGTCAGGACAGGAGATGACGTGAGCTTCTGCTTCAGGATATCGAACGCTTGCTGACACTCATCCGTCCACGAAAAGCTTGCCTGTTTCTGCATTAGCTTGTGTAGCGGTGCTGCAATTGTCGCGAAGTCCTTGATGAACCGCCTGTAGTAGGAAGAAAAACCTACAAATCGACGAACCTCGGTTGCAGAGCTAAGTGGTTTGAGACTGGTGACCGAACTGCAATTCTTGGGATCAGGGCTCACACCACCTCCCTTGAACACATGCCCAAGATACGTAACCGACTTGCTCAGAATCTGGCACTTACGAGGCTTGACCTTCAAACCTGCTACCCGGAATTTTTCAAATACTAGGCGCAGTCTAACCAGATGTTCTTGAAATGTTTTCGAGAAAGTTATGGTGTCATCTATGTACGCTGAACAGACGCTTGGCACAAGATCACCCAGAACCATGGTCATCAGGCGCTGGAAAGTTGCTGGGGCATTGCACAACCCAAATGGCATGACTTTCCATTCAAACAATCCAAATGGAGTGACAAATGCTGATTTCGCCCTTGCTGCATTAGTTAGCTCTACCTGCTAGTAACCGAATGCAAGATCTAGGGTTGTGAAATACTGTGCGTCACCCATGTTGTCTATCGCATCATCAATCCGCGGAATGGGGAATGCGTCTCTGACAGTTACAGCATTGAGTTTGCGATAATCGACACATAGTCTAATAGCTCCATCAGGCTTCCGAACAACAACAATAGGGGCTGCCCAAGGACTGTTGGAAGGATCGACTAAACCCTCAGCTAAAAGCTGCTCAACATGTTCACGAACCTCATTGGCATGGTGAAGCGGCAATCGTCTAGGGGCTTGGCGAATAGGCTGGCTGCTAGTGGTCTCGATGTCGTGTTTGGCAACACCGGTAGAGCCAAGATCCATTGCTCCCGTTGAAATTATGTCGCTGAACTCCGAGAGAAGAGACCTGACGGCTGCTGCCTCTTCTGTATCGAGATGACTAAGGTCAAACAACTCAACAGGGTCAGAACACATATCAGCAGCATTACAGCTTTCAGCAGTACAATCACGCTCATCTGCGGCTTCTGCGGCTTTCTCAACAAAGCAAGATTCGAACATGCCAACAACTGTACCCTTGTTTATAGTGACAGGCCATGGTAGCAGGTTCTGCAACCTGACAGGAACAGTACTGTTCTCACTCACGGTCGTGACCACTCTAGCTGCACTGACACAAAATTTATCTACGAACGACTCTGTTGGCTCTACCATTCCGCACGATGGAGACATAAACTCAGTGTCACGTAATCTACCTTGCGTTATCAACTGAGAATAGCCCTGTAGAACAACAGATTCAGCCAATTGCACTGGAATGGGGTCTGTTTCCACTCTCTGACATGAAAGGTGCTTGGGCCCAACTCCCTGTGTTAATGGAAGGGTCTGATTGCTCAAGCGCAGACAGCCTTGTCCCAGATCCATAATACAACCGTGCCTACGGAGGAAGTCTATGCCTAATAGTACGTCAGGCTCAATGTTTGCAACTACCATAATGTGCTGAAGTTGGAGGCTGCCAAACTCTAGCTGCACATCCACCGCTCCTTCCACAGTCACGCCACTGCCATCAACACTTCGGACTGATGTAGAAATTTTGTTTAATTTTATATGCTTATGTTGTTGATAGAATGCTGAGCTGACAAACGAAATCGAACTTCCAGAATCAACTAACATGTGGACATCAGTTATGCATATTGAACTTACTTTGCCGATAACATACTGGCAACTGTCAACAGCAACGGAATGGCATACTACATCGGAAGGCGCGGCGGGCAGCACTTCCGGGCCATGGTGGTTTGGAGCTGACTCTGAACCCTCTATGCCAACTCCCGGCCGTTTCCCGAAGGGCGCTGACGTTGTCCCCGGGGTGGAGGTGCAGTCGGGCAGTACGCAATCAGATGTTCGGCACTCCCACAATGGTAACAGCGGCGCTGTTGTTGGGGTTGCTGCTGGGGTTGCTGCTGCGGTCGCTGCAAAGATGACGGCGGTTTCCAATCGTTCCATCCTTACTAATAAGGCATACAAACGATCTTCCCTGGCAGCACAGACAGCCGCGGCCACTGGCTGAGACGCACTAGTAGTAGCGTCCGCTTGGAGTATGGCAAGTGCTCGAAGTCCTTGCTGCAGTGCCTGGTCAAGAGTTCGGGGGTCTTGGCGACGTACCTCCATGCGCAACTCTCTGCTGTCCAGACCTTCAATGAATTGGTCACATGCCAGCTGGTCCTGCACGAGGTTTGGCAAGGTAGGGTACGCTCTGCGAGACAATCGGCGAATCACCTCGCAGTAATCAGACAACGCCTCCTCACCTCGCTGTCGTCTGGCCTTCAATTCCGCTCTGTGGAGGTCGGTCCTGACGGGTGGAGGAAACCGACCCTCCAGAGCTACCAGTAATTGCTGAACATCCTGGCGTGTCGCGACAGGAAGCGACTGGTAGTAGCACTGCGCATTATCTATCAAGTACAACGGGATGTACTGTGCCTGGTCCTGCGGCGTCCACTGATTAACCAGGCAAACTTGAGTGAAGTGGTCACGCCAAGTAGTCCAGTCCGAGGCTGCTCCACCATCAAAACGTTCCGGAGTTGCCCATGGCCGGATGGGTCGAACGGGAGCTGGCTGGGCGGGCTGAACTGGCTGGGCGGGCTGAACTGGCTGTGCTGGCTGGGCTGGCTGAACTGGCTGGGCGGGCTGAGCTGGCTGAACTGGCTGGGCTGGCTGGGCTGGCTGAGCAGGCTGGGCAGGACGGGGCGGCTGGGCCGGCGGTACTTGCTGGTTAGGCTGTGCTTGGGCCATTCCGAACCAGGAATCACTTCACATTGTCACAACAACAAAAACATAGCATGAAAAAAAAAAACCGAAACATCCACCGCTGCCACCAGTTGTAGCGTGGCCCAAGTGGTTGGGCACACAACAACCAACAAGTCTCACCAGAGCAAGGAGAAGTGGTTGAAGAAATGAAGGATGATCTTTCTTCAGAGACAGAGCTTTTTATATGTGCCAAGACTAAGAGAGTTCAGGTTTCACATAACAACGAGCAACGGTTTAGACCAATCAGGAGATAGAGAGATGGCACAGATTCGGCCAATCAGAAGACATGTATTGGAAGAAAGTAAAGAAAAAAAGGAAAGCTTCTGAAAAAGGTAGGTTCGAACTTCACATGCAAAGGATACTAGTCTTATTACTGTACAGGTTTTAACACACGAAGCTACAGTGACACAGGCACTAGACTACAATGCAACAGGTACAAGGTTGAAGAATCTGCATGCTCTACACCAGCAATGAAAAAATAGTGCCCTCGCTTGAATAGTGCCCTCTCTTGAATAGTGCCCTCTCTTGAATAGTGCCCTCTCTTGAATAGTGCCCTCTCTTGAATACTGCCCCATCTGTGATGGACATTGAAAAAAATAGTGCCCCAGGGGCACTAACCGCGCGAGTACGGTAGGCCTAGTGTGCACTACATTATAGTTGTAATGTAAGGCTGGCTGGTATCATGGTGTGGCTTTCTGTGACTTGCTATTGTCTGCAAACTGGGATTACCTTCCTGGCGAGATGAGGATAGAATTGCCTTGTAGTGCACACTTCTTTGCCAGTTAGTGCGTCCATGATAGGGTGCATGTGTGCATATGAGACTCTCTGCATGCAGTGGGCATGTCGACGCCCTATCGACCCAAACATGGTGCTAGTTATGTCCACACATACACATGCTGTGCTTGTCCTGTATTGTGTGGGTAACTCCGTCACACCGGTGTGCATGCTGCTTCTGTGTACCTCCTTGCATTGAAATTACAGAAGTCAACAGTCAACACACCTGCAGGCATATCGCATCCACCGATCACCGATCACCGATACATCCCAGTACGTCAAACATCTTGCTGTACTCGCCCTACGTCCCTGGCGCTGCCTGGAAACTGCACAACACCTTCCTGCACCCGACAAGCACGGCGGGGTTCGCTATCACCGTCCCTGCCATAGCCGCCGCTGCTGAACCTGAGCCAGGCTGGTGATCGGAATTCGAACTGCAAGCAATGTCAATGTAAGACTGCTGTACCTAAGCTGAGCTTAGTGATTCTTTCCTACAGTCCATTCAGAAAAATGATGGACTTCTAGCTTTTGGCCATAAATGGGTCAAATGTTGAGTTTTTTTTAGAATTTTTTTCTGCAATCCACTATGGAATCGTCTTCCAATTATGTTTCGGAAGTCTATTTCTCGCAAGCCATAGCAAGAATAGGATTTCGGCCAGGTTTTGCCCTTACTAGAGCACTGAATTGGGAAAACCCATCAAAATCCAGGCCGTTTGACCCTGCCAGCAACTGTGCATTGTACGGTTCGAACCCCAGTTCAGGTACCCTTTTTGAATCCTTTTTCAAATTTCAAATTTCACAGCACTGCACTGTGTACGATAAAATTTTGAAAAATCGCCTTATACGGGAGCTCGCCAGAGCCAGGGCCCATCTTTTTGTGAATGGACTGTAGACTAACATGACCTGTGTTACCATGATAGTCTTTGAAACGGTTTGCGTGGGTAGGTTGTTTGCTGTGCCGTTGGGAGCCTCATCTCGGCCAGGCAGAAAGGATGAAATAGCCAGGCGAGAAAAGAGAGTGCAGGCTCAGGAAAAAAAGAGGAAACGGAGAGAAAGAAGCGAATAGGTTAGGATGAGGAGCTCATGGGCTACACAAGTGAAGACAATCCGGTTGGAGACGGCAATTTGCTCGATCTACAACTTCAGTGACATACACGGACAACAAAGGACCATGATAATCTGTACTCCATGGAGCTTATGACTTTCAAATAGTGGACTGCGCCCTCATGTTACATGGCATAACGTTGTTTTTTAAAGTAAAATTCTGATTTCATTTATACAAAAGAGAAAGACCAAGGAACTACAAGTTACGCTATACTGCCCACTAACACCACCATTACTAAACAATCAGCTCTTTCTCTTTTTCATAATAAGTATTCACATGCAACGACGCAAATCCACACAATTCAGTAGACACTTCCTTTCTATCAAACGTTTTCTTTCCCTTCTCTTCAGGATAGTACAGGGAATGTTATAAATTTGAAAAACACATAACTATATAGAGAAAGAAAGAAAAAAGTCAACACTTCAACATAGGTGATAACATGATTTTAAAAGTGTTAAGAACTCAAAAACAAACAGCTGTAAATTGTAGACAAACACGTTGAACACATCAGGGAATACTTGTCCCACTTTCTCTTTTGTATAAATTAAACCTTGGCTCTCCATCTGAGTACATTTCTGATTTCATTGCTTCACTTTGTACCTGATGGTGACAAAGTATAAGGTATGCCTCATGGTACCTCGTACCAACTTTTTACTCCAGATTTGAAGACCCTTGGTACTGACGGTTGTTCTGTTTGCTGTCTGTTCATTTGTGCTGCAGAATTCAAACATGAGCCGAAGTTGCAATGCCCATGAGGATTGCAATCCCCTCCAAGGCCGATGTCCAACAACTCTCACTCAATGAACTATTGGATAATGGACTGTGGACAATTCTCTCGTTCAACTGAATCTGGTTATACGTACCATGCACACATAGTGTCACCAGTGGCTTAGCACTCTAGATAGGTACACGCCAGGAACAGATGCATGGACCATAGCCAGATGCGAACTGGCTTAGCCTAGGGCCGGGGACAGATGCATGGATCATAGCCAGGTGCGAACTGGCTTAGCTTAGGGCCGAGATATCTTAGGGCACACGCCGAGCCACTACTTTTCCAGGCATAACTCGTAGGATTGTAGATAGGAATGTACATGTCTGTGGTGGGCATGGTAAGGTGAAGATCAATCCAATCCTGGTGGTGGACAACTACGGTGTTCGTCCACGCAATGCATTTATTTTGATTTTTGTGATGACCTGCACTCTCACTCCTGGATCCGGCAACGGCAGCATGGGAGCCTCAATGGAACTGTACTCTCACTCCTGGATACAACGGCAACATGGGAGCGTCAATGGAACTAATATAATATACTTCACCTTGCCATGTGGCCATCGTTTCTCTCCCTATTGCAGATGCGATGTCCACAAAACAGTGGCGATTGTGTATGCACAGCAGGTAGAGAGCGAAGTTGTCCAGTAAAAGCGTGCGCCTGTGTTATGCTCTTCTTGTGTAGGCTAGGTTATTTCACTGTAGTCTGTGTTAGGTCAGGTGTTAGGTGAGATAGGATATAGGATATAGGATAGTGCAGTGTAGACAGTTAGGTAAGGTTAGGGTTAGAGGGATAGGATAGCATGACATTTCTAGGACTCGAAAACTGGACAATGCGCTGGCAGGTGCGAAGGAAAGAAAGTGTGGCCCTGGTAGTAGAACAGGACTTGCTTCTCCTTGCTTACGCTTTCTTCAGCTCAAGATCAGGTGCGATGTCAGGTCGCTGTAGAATATCTCCACAGTTGCAGCTAAGTCCAGGCCACACATACTGTATCCGTAACTGCAGGACAGCTAGTGTCTGTGTCGCGTGAATCAATACGTAGATGTAGTGTAGTAGTCACCACAAGGTCACTGGGAACGCGCGCGTAATGACCTTCAACGAGGGCCCAAAGACTTGAGGGAAGCAGCCCTTCAGGACATCTGCTGATGAGTAGGGCGGAGTGTGCACTTGGAGAGGTCCTTAGTCACCAAATGCACACAGAAGGTGCTTCTCTTCCGAATAACCTTTCTTTTGTTACTGACATACACTGGAGGATATAACAACATGCACTGGGCTAGGCATAGAATAGGCACAATGACAACAGAACACTTATCATTTCCTTTTTCTTATTATTTCCGAGGCTTCTTCACCAAGATCAGCGTAGGTCACTACAGGTCATCGTTGCGAGTTTGCGCAATAGTTGCGTCCTGTGTGTCGGTGTGATCTGGTGAACCCTTGTGGTTCACCGTCTTTACCTCTTGCGTCCTTCCCTGTCTTTTCTCTCTTCCTCCCTGTTGGAGCTATGTGGTCTAGTCGTGCACATGCTTCAATAGGGAGGGCTTGTATTGTGGCGCGGCGGGTATGTGCGACGTGGCCATGCCAGGACATGCTGTGCGGCTTCCAGTGTCGAGTGAACAAACCCACGCTCTCGTGTTGAGTGTTGGGTGTGATGCATGGCTGTGCTGGTCAGCTGTGAGGATTGCAGCTGGTCGTGCAGGGCAATCCCAGGCTGTTCAGCGGAGCCATGTATCATGGGTATGGGGTAGAGTACCCGATAGTGAATAGTGCATGCCTAGGTGTGTGTGCATGGTGTGTGAGGGTGCATGGTGTGTGAGGGTGCATGGTGAGCTATTACTTATGCTATAATAAACTCTCCCGATGAACACTGCGTGGAGCGGCTTCTGTTGTGTGTGCTGGGGCCTGGGTGGGGTACATGGAGTGGTCACTATTATCTGTGCCATTCCAAGACTGTGGGAAAGGGTGTATGGCGGGTGTGTGTGCGAGGCATGGTGAGCTCAGGCAGGATTGCGTAGTCCTGCCAGTCTGTCTTCTCTCTCTTTCTTGAATAAACTTCAGTCTTTTGTTGATCAGTTTTTCCGGTCAGCTGTGTTCACTGTATGTGTAATGGCCTGTACTTGGTACAGCATGGGGAATGGGCAGGGTAGAGGATACCATTACGATCATTTTGCCATACTGCGCAGTCCTGGGTTACTGGGGTTAGAATAGCAAACGGCGTATGCGTGTGCCGGTGTGTGCATGTGTTTGTGGGTGCATGGTGTACTTCATTTTATGACATGATTTTATACCTTTGTTGCTTATCCACTGCTCTTCAATCCGTTCTCTCGTTTCTTTTCACTGTTTATTGCAAACATGATGCCTCTAGGTAACTTATCATTGTTATTGGCCGAAATTGTGTGCTCTGCTGGGTGCATGCGCGTGTGTGTGTGTGTGTATACTAGGTCAGGGGTACCCTGCATGCTTGGTATATTCAATTTCCCATCAACCCTCCAATTCACTAAATCGGCCAAACTTGCGCCACAAACTCGCATTTTTGCTAACATTTTGCTGAGAGGTGTGCTGGTGGTAGTACTCTCAGTGCTGTTATGAGATGGAAGGATAGAGACGAAGGACGTGCCAAAGGGTGCCGTTTTGTTGAGGTGGAAGGAGATCCATGTTTTGTTGAGGTGCAAGGAGATCGTTGTTTTATTTGGATTTTGAGGACCAGCTCGAAGCTGAATTCCGCGAATTTTTTAAGACTTCAAACTTGCTTCTACTTTCTTGTTTCCATTATTTATGATGTCTAACTTGTTTGTGTCTGTGTGTGATTTGTATGTTATCCCATGCAGGGTATTGACACAGGTGAAGTATAGCTTGGTCCAATTGTATGCATTTTATTTGGTATCACGTGCATGCTCTAGTACATCAATTCTTATTGCGCAGTGCTTTTGAGTTGGTTTGTGTGTCCCCTGCAGTTACACAATGCTTCGACACAGCATTCTGGATGATGCGGCTTGCGTCAGTATTCTAATTTCTGGAAAGGATGAGCTGAACCTGGCTCCATATCCTCACTATTAATAATATACAATGGCCTTGGTGTATTATTGGGATTGAGACCTTGTTTAAGTGTCTAGCTGCAATTTGTTCTGGTAAGCATATCTGTTTAGGTCCCAATTGTATAATTCTGGACCATGCTACTCACAGTCTCCCACTACCAAGATGCGTATGCTAGCTTGTCAGTGTCTTGCACCCTGTTTTCCTACCTCGATGTGGCACCTCTGGCACCTGCTGGAGGTCTTGGCAACATTGCAGTGTGTATGTGTGTATGCATAATGTGTGTGTGTGTGTGTGTGTGCCGCGAGTTGCACGTACGTGCATGTGTTTGCATATGTTTACCGTTCAATATGCCGGACGACATAAACATCAGCCATGGCCATCAGCGCCAGCTCGCATGACAACTATTGGCTAGCTGTACTGTGAAGTTCTTTGTAGGTAGGTGAGTGCGCGGGATTTGTACTAGCTGACAATAGTACATATTGAACTGGTGTCAGCCATGGCTCAGTCCACTGTTGTAAGCCTTGGATGCCTTGTTGCATACTGTTTCAGGAACTGCCCTGGTGCAGTGTTCAAGATTTTCCAGGAAGCAAAATTGGCCACATTGAATGATTTGCCATCACTGAGGAGTACTGCAAAACTGTTTTAATAGTTCATATTAAAATATGCCCAACACTATTCTTTCTGAATCCATACATCCTGTACACACACCTTGTACACACTCTCTCTAACGGTCTCTAGGCTACACTGCAATTGATATACATTAGCTCAAAGGTGTGTACAGGATGTACAGTGGAGTCTCCAAACCTTGAGAAAAAACTATTCTTTCTGGCTTGTTAAAGGTTTTACTTCAGAAGGTAAAGAAAAGAGATCATTGATGCTTATGACATTATGCACCCTGGTCGTTGCTTCTGTGTACTCCAGCTGATCGTTGTGAGGCCTGAATTTCATGTGTGACTGGTTGAAGTTGGACAAAAAGGTGAGGTGTTGCGCATTGTACTGACATGGAGGGCACACATATATTTCCAGTGTACAATGTGCCAAGGCAATCAACCATTCTGCTATTTATCTTAACTTCCTCCTCCTCTTCTTTCTCCTCTCCTCCTCCTCCATCAAAATGGGGTATGCTGCAAACTAAGATGTGTGCTAATTTCCCCTCTTCTTTCTTATGGAATGTGCCGTGTGTATGCGTCTACTCCTGGTGGCCACGAGTGTGTACACGTACACCCTACATGCATCATTACTTTGTACAGATGATGTCAATACTGAATACGCGGATTAAACTGAATGGTAAGGAATCCATGTTCCATATCTGCATAGTTCATCATGTTGTTCTTTGCCATACCATTATCAGTATAGCTGACACTATGCTGCTGCCAGTACCCAATGGAAAGTTCTCAGAGTTGATAGACGGTTGCTCATGGGTGCTTAGCAGAGCGCTTGTCTAACGGTAGTTTTTTGTTGTGTGCTGTGCTCTCGGTGCGATGGTACATGTGTTTGGATGTGCTATGGATGTGCTATAGGTGTGGTGTCTGCATGACTGTGTGCTTTGTGCATGCATTGGCTGGTGTTTAGTCGACTGGGTATTTTGATACGACGCATCCAGGAGAGCGAACAATATCCCGCTGGTAAGGGCAGTCATTCAGTGTGGTGTACCTTTTCAAAATTATAGTGATGTGACTTGAAGCTGACACCAAGCATGCATCAAGTACCCAATGGAAAGTTGTCTGATTTTATAGAGTTGCTCAGTCATGAGTGCTTAGCAGTGCGCTTGTCTAATGCTACTTACGTTTGTTGTGTGCTCGGTGCGATGGTGCATGCATGTGTTTGTATGTGCTATGATGGATGTGTTGGATGTGGTGTCTGTGTGTTTTGTACATGCATTGGCTTGTGCCTTAACGCCCGGCTAGTTGGATGTATATGACGCATTCGGGCGAGTGACAATATTCCACCGGTAAGAGCAATCATTCAGTCATTCAGTTTGGTGCCGCACCCTATCAGCATTGTTCTTTATAGTGGTGTGACTTGAAGCTGAGACCAATCCTGCATCAAAGCTGTAAAAAGAAATTCCTCCTCGATCCAGGTTCTGTCTCCTCCCCATGACCAGTCATAAGATTGGCTGTATATACACGTGTTCATAGGTGACACTAACTGCTCGCCCCTTGTATGTGTGTGTGTGTGTTTATGTGTGTGCGTGTGTGTGTACGTGTGTTTCTACCACTACCTGACCATGTGTGTTCTGTACAGCGACCACCAAAATTCTTTCCACCTGACATATTCTTGGTAAGGAATTCACCGTGACGACGTGCATTCCCCAGTTATATGTGGTTAGCCATACATGTACATGTACACCATAACAAATTTAAACTTAGGGATCTGAATGCGGTTTCGCAACTGAGTTCATGACCAGCTGACAATTGTGTTTGGTGCACTGATGATGTTACTCTGTGAGTGACTGTGCTAACATGCATCTATGGCGTGTGTTTGCATGGGTACTGGTCCCTGCGTGTGTGCATGTGTGTTTTGCGTGCATGGCTCCTTTGTGTTACTGAATTCTCAATGTGGATTCCTCGCTGGACTGAACAATGTCTGTCTCCCCATGTGTGCAAGGTAAGCACAGCTATTAAGACCGCATATTAAAAGTCGGTTGAGTGATCATTGGTATGCCATGCAGTGCAGCTTTATGTTCTCCTTCTGTTTGCACTCCCATCCTACCTATTAGCTCGGAGAGTACTGTGTGGGTGGTATCTGACAGAGTCTCCTGTGTCTTGCTTTCTGTGGTAACATGCCGGTGTATGCGTGACTTCTGGTGGCTATGTCATTTTGAGGGTTGATCTGCACACATGTATGTCAAGCTAACGTCGATATCCGCAATCAGTAACAGAAATATGGTAAGGACTGGATTGGGTTTACTGTGTAGTACCAATGTTCTGTTGCTATCCTGTTCATAACAATTTCTAATACTTTCTTGTCGGACCATGAGTGACACATGTAGGTTGCGGCTGCCGCAATTTGTCAAATGATTGTGCTCATTATGGTTCTCTGTGCTTGTGTCGTCACGGTGTGTTTTGTGCGTGTGCGTTGCTTGTCCGTGCATGTGGTTGCATTCTTGTGTCCAAGTTTGCTTGCATTCACTGCTAGCATGGATGCTCCTTTCCAACCGGACGGACACTTGGAAAATCCTCCACCATGAGCTAAGGTAAGCAAAATCATTCAGTGCCAGGTCTGTTGTTCAACATGATGTGGATTGGAAGAAAGTGCCTATCAATTTCAGCCAACACATTGACGAACAAAGCAACTTGTGAGTTGCATACTTTTTCTGCAATGAAGCAACCATTTTCAGTCCACCCAACTTCCCTCCCCGTCCCTCTCACCATAACATCTAAAGTTAACTAAACCATCCTTGAGCTCCAGCAGCCTATAACTAATTCCTAACTAATACCTCATCCATAAATGTTCCAACTTCTAATTGAACAGATTCGTTTATTTTTTTAAAGTAATCCTACCTAAACTAATGGATTTAGCTAACTGATGGATTTAGCTAAACCCTACTAGTTGCCGTGGACTGAGAATGGTTGCATCATGCGGACTACAGGTTTGTCACATGCTTCAAATGTCTAGCTAGATTCCTTGCAAAACTGCATGTTTTGATTAGATATGCGGGGGTTTTCTGTGCGTGTCTTTCTCCTTTACATGTACCGGTCTTCAACAATACAACACGCCGAGCTTCAATGTGCCTCATCACCCAGCAGCAACTACTAGATTGTCACAAGGGATCTAGCCAGCGGTGCAGAATGGTATGAGCAATTTGGTTGACGCAACAATGATTCTATATGCTGCTCTTTTCACCTGCTTGTGCATTGGTCTCACGAAGACATGGCAACATTGTCACAATTCCATGTACCCAGCAGGATAGCACCTTCTCTAATGATGTGCACATAGATAATGCTAGCTGCACCTATTACCGGTTATCATGCCAGGTTCAAATGGTTTTGAAGTATACCGTAGTTCCGCGCATATAAGCCCACGGGCCTATATCCGGATATAAGCCCACCTCCGTTTATAGGCCCATGGGCTAAAAAACAGACCCAAACACCGTTACGGACCCGTTGGTCAAGTGTATTTTTCACAATACCGGTACAGAGATGTTCTTGTTGATGAGCCAGAAAACAAGAAAGTGGAGGGTTAACCCTTGACCCCCATGGACTCTTGACCGATAGTACAGCATGTCAGTGCAGACTACATTACCAGTACCGGTACCTACGGTAGGCGGACAACCGCGCACGGACTTGTACTTTTTCGCGTGCCAGCTGCCTTCACAATTCGAATATAGGCCCAGGGCTAAAAAACGAAGCATTATTACTGATTTTTTTCCAGGAAAATGCATTATTTCGTATATTAGCCCATGGGCTTATATGCGCGGAACTACGGTAGTGCTGCTCAGTGACATATTGTATGAGTTAAATTTGCACCTTTGCACTAGTAGTTCACGTCCCAGGGTCAGTAGGTCTAGGGCTGCACAGCGCCCATTGCGTACTCAGTTGACTCACACAGACGGGTTTTATTGAGTAGCACTGTAATTGCTATTCAAACTCTGTTCGTGTCCTCTTTCTGTTTCCACTTGCAGTTTACATTGCTATTCAACTGAACACGGCTTTTATTGCACTCGGCATCGGCGGGTATAATTAATACGTTGATCGCCTGAACTCGCCACCTATTCACCATACTCGGCCATGTGCGGGCTCAATTTGTATTTGACACTATTTGCATCTCCCCTCATTGACCCGTACTAGTATGCCCTATATCCAGTGATGGGGGCCAGTGAATTACTATGCTGGCTGTTTATGTTCATCTCTATTGATCAATCCCATCTCTCCTCTATTCCTCTCTCTCTCCTGTGATGGACTGTCCTGTCCTCTCCCCTCTCCTTCTTTTCATTCCTTCCTACTTCTTTCCTCCAGACTTCTTAAGTCTCTTCCTTTTCTTGTCCCATGTTATTATTGTGACAATGTACCTTCTCTATTCCTCCATTCCTCCATCCGCATCTTGATCTCACTTTACAAATACTTATAGTGCGTCTTTCAGCTCCTCCCCCTTTCCCCCTTCCTCCAGACTTCCCCCTTCCTCCAGGCTTTTTCCCTCCCTCCAGTCTTTCCCCCTTCCTCCAGTCTTTCCCCCTTCCTCCAGTCTTTCCCCCTTCCTCCAGACTTCCCCCCTTCGTCCAGATTTTCCACGTTCCCCCATTCCTCCAGACGGTCCCCCTTCCTCCTGACTTTACTCTGATCTGCTCCAGCCTTCTCATCCAGTTTTTTCTACCATGTTAAAGCTATTCATTATGAAAAACCAAAAATTACCTGTCGCAGGCTGGCAACGGTTAATGATGATTATGATGGTGGATTGTTGGTTGTATTGATAACTCGTACTTTTGCCCTTCCCCTTATACATAGAAACGATGTTACATGCTGTATCATCGAACTACACGTACTGAAAATCACACTGTCCTCATTTCAAAGGTGTCCTTGCAGTTGGGAAGTGTGTGAACGCACCTCGAAGGGATTTCTGAAAGGTGTCCTGAGCTTCAAGCATGCATTCCCAGGTATTCAGCCAGGCCATGCTCCATCTGGAGCAAAATGAGTGTGTGTGTGTGTGTGTGTGTGTGTGTGTGTGTGTGTGTGTGTGTGTGTGTGTGTGTGTGTGTGTGTGTGTGTGAGAGAGAGAGAGGGGGGGGGGGGGGGGGCTGGGTGAGTACTCATTTATGCAGCACAGTCTTGACTGCCTCTCATAATAATTACATGAACCACACACTCTTCCTGCTACATGTACCAGTGCCACTGGGTATGGTCTGCCTCTGCTGGCACAAAGCGGGCTTATTGTCCTCATGTGTTCGAGCGACTGGCAAGCCTCAACACGCACACAGTCAAAACACACACCACTGACTCATTGGACAGCATAGTGCAGATTTCAAAGGGTCCTTGCCGTGCTCTATGCAAAAGCAAGCTGTACTTCCGGTGCCGAGAGGCGGGCCCACACCTCAGTATGACAAGTTATTGACAACTACCCCATGTCCACCCCCAAAACGAAGTGAATACAGTAGTAGTCAAACTGGCGGAGATTAAAAAACCCCTGGTCGGGCTAGTGAAAGTCAGAGTGACAGTAACATGATGTTTGGCCAGTCTGTTGTTTTGCCTGGCGTGTCTGTGTGACAGTACTGTAGTTGTGGCTAGAGCCATTGCTCTCCGGAAATCCCCTCCTCCATTCCAACCATTCCGAATGGTTGGAATCATAGGGAGGAAATTCCCTTGATCAGCTTCCCACCATGCCATGCATACCAAGCATGGTTGTTTATTACATGTCACTGTACTGCCTGATCTGATTGACAACAGTGTGCTTGTGAGTTCAAGTGGCATGCTAGTAGTGTAGTAGCAATAGGATTAGTCTCTTCTACGAGATATTCAAGTTTGCGATAAAAAAATGTTCTCTTTGTTAATATGTACAAGTAGACAAAGGGTAGGTACCCTTATCAGATGTGCTAGTCTTGCGGCTGCCCTTCTTGCTGGCACTGCGTTCCCAGAACGCTTTACCAGCCAAATAGAACACTGGTGACAAACGCCCACAGCCTGGCCTACACGAATCTCATCGTGCACTAGTGCACTAGAGGCAACGTAGGTAGCTAGGTACCGGGTAGTCTTGTACAGCAATGTACATGTACAGTCAACCTTGTCATTGATGACCTCGGATACACATGTACATGTACACCCTCTCTCTTTGCATTGGCCGGTGTTCTCACTGTGCTATGAGATGCTGTAATATAATATATAAATAAATAAATAAGTACAATGTAACACTACAATGACATGTACTAGTAGTCACTACTGTGGCAGCACTACATGTACATGTACATGTATCTTCAAGGAACCACTTTTAAAACCAAATGCTTTTTTAAATTTAACAACACTTTCCTCATGGCCGATCGATGATCGTTATGTTTTGTTTTTTCATTGTAGACTAGAGTCTAGTGCTAACCAGGGAGTACATGTAGTACAATATAATTGTACTACGTGCTAACGAGGGAACACTGGACGATTTTGTCCGGCCTGGAAACCCCCACAGAGATTTCACTCCCCGCGTTTGTGATACCACTGATATGCCGGCCTCAAGCAAGTGCAACTGCAGAGGGGAAACCACAAGGAGTCGTGAAAGCCGGAATTTCTGACACACATTGTATGCCGCTCACTGCTCCAGTGTCTGCTCCAGAGCCGGGTCAGCGACCCGGTTGGGGGGGGGGTACTTGGGCCGCTTGGGAAAAGGAACACCAGGTCACTTCTGGCCAGGTTGGGACTCAATCAGGGCCAGAGGGAGTTCTAAGATTCCCTGATGTACATGTACAATAGCTGCACTTTTAAAAATGTACCCAGGGGACTGACCCGGCCAGTTGCTAGAGTTGTGCCAGACACATAATTATAATAATAATTATTATAATCTTTATTTCAGGATTACCCAAAGGCTAACGCCTATCTGGGCATGTTTGTACATGTAACAATACATGTTTGTGCATGATTGATTGTACTTGTACAATACTTACTCAGAAAGTGAAACTCGCATGCCACCGACGTCGTTCTGACTGTCACTGCCAGTGACACTGGAGTGGATGTACCACCGAGTCCGACTCCACTGGCACTGTAGCACTGCACTCATCATCAGTAGGAGTAGCGACTGTCAGTCCCTGCTGGCAGTGCTGCGCTGTGATCATGGTGATGTTTGGCACCTCAGAGACTGCAGCTCAGTGTTATTTTACATGACTGATAATTATGATTATTGTAGTTCTACCTAGCGATCCGCGTACATGATTGAGTGGTGTCGATGGTGCGACAGTCACATCAGTCATCACCAGGCATGATCGCTGCTATGTCTCTGCACTGCAGTCAACCGGGCTCTGGATTCGACACCTCCTAATAATTATTATTATGTAGCCTCTGAGAGGAATAACTGGGGCTAGCTCCATATCCTGGCTGTGCCATTTTCATTGAGCTCCATAACTAGTCCAAGGACTAAGTAAAAGGCAAGGAGCGGTCACTTGGCTTCACTGCTGGAAGCTACATTGTACTTGACAGCTGGGACATGCTCGCAAGGTTAGGTTACGACACGTATTTGCGAGCAGAAAAACTCAGCGAGCTGCTCCGTGTTGTCTGAAACACACTCCTATCTCGTCGGCGTTTCCAAGTAACCCCGTCATTGCGATGTTGCTTTCGGAGTAGAACGAGCAATGGCTTGCTCACGGCCAGCAACTGCAGCCTCTCGTCCGTTAGTCGCAACCGTTCCTCGACTCGTCTGGTGCTTGCTCCTTTTAGTTGTAGGTCCTGCTGGAGCGTGGATAGCGGAGCGGAATATCAACATTTCCATCGGCAGCCACATGAGAACATGGGTCTACTCGTCCCTGGGACCCGGCGGCAGCAACGCGTTCAAATTCAAGCCCGGTGGAACGGCGAAGATATCGCTCTCGTGTTCCTGGGTAAGGAATATACCTGTGTCCGATAGGCAATGCATTCATTCAATAACGTTTGGAATGCATTGTGAGCGAAATGAATTCCATTTTTGTTGACAGTTTCATTTTTTGGCAAAGTATAATAATAATTATTGACTGTACGCATCCAAGCTAGACAACACGAGCACTTTTCGAGCAGAAAATTGCCTAATTGCGACTATGATTCAGTGCGTTAGGGCTTCCCAGGCTTTTCCCTATTGACCGCCCTCAACTAATTGATGTTAGGGATTGTTCCTGCGATTTTGGTATCCCGGGGTGCATTCTCTTCATATGAATGACTTAGGTACTTCTGTATAGCTGTGCACTTCGTTTTTGTTGTTTCCGGACATTTTCACTAGCTAGGTGCCTTGCACAGCGTGTTTGTGCACACGAAATACGGAAGTAACTACCGTATTTTCTCTAATAAAAGCCCAGGTCTCCAATAATGACCCGGGGTGAGGGTGGTTTGAAATATTAAGAGCACAGTTTCTAATAGTAGCGTGGGTCACAATTGGAGTATGCAACAAGTACAGCAGTACAACATGCCAAGAACATATTTGTAAGGAGGTTTTCGGTCTACTGCTTCCTTCCTGGTGCCAATGCTATTGTGAAACATCTGTTTTGACAATATTCCTGAGTTTAGGGTTGAAAAATCAGTCTTGATACGGTGAGTTTATGCCTATACCTATACTGTAGTTGGCTTGATAGTTGACAATTGAAAAAATAAGAGCCCAGTCTCCAGTAATAGCCCAGTCTCTAATAGTAGCGCGGGTAGAGCTGTCACTGAAAAAATAAGAACCCCCCCCCCCCCCCGGGCTCTTATTAGAGAAAATACGGTACTACTAGTACTAGTAGTTGACGATTATCTCGCCGTAGAGCTGGTCATATTGAATCAAATCGTGAAGGCACTTTACAACCATCCTTCATTCAACATTATTCATTTGACACTGCAGTGCAACATCACCTTACAGAGTAGCCAAGGCATGGTCAAACTGAGTGTGAAGCTGATAACAATACATCCTGCAGTATAGAGCCTGTTCAAAGTGCTGATAACAATACAGCCTACTATAGAGCCTATTCAAACGGTGGTGACACTAACCCTGTACTGCATACTGTAAGTATGTGTATGTGTGTACATGCGTGCGTGTGTGAATATGTGTGTAATAAAAAAGTGTGCGTGTGTGCATTTGTGTATGGGTATGTGTGCCCATGATTGTGTGTTTAAAGGTTTGTTCCCGTGCACTTGTGATGCACTGCTACATTCTCCTAGCCTATTTTGGGTCTGCTTTGTCCTGGTAGACTCCTGCAACGGCTGGCCAGGGAGCTGCGGACTGGATTGAGAATGCTGTGTATCTGTTGCTGTGTCAGGAGGATAGGATTAAGGTAGGGAGATAGATAGGCCACACATGTACATGACTGTGCACTCAATTTGCGGACAGAACTGTTTCGTCCTTTGTAGATCATCAGTGCAGCGCAGAGAGAATGAGGCCCAACCTGGTAGCAATGAAAAATAAAATATCCAAAGTCAGATTTAACCCAGGCCCGAACCGTGCATGACTCTGTATATAATTTGGTCACTTACGCTACGTGTACAAAACACAAGATACTAGTGCCCTGTAGTCACTTCTGCATGAAAGCTACTCTCTTCAACATGCATATATGTGTCTCTAAAGGATTTGGAATTGTGGCCGGATCAAGCCGATGGTTTATGCAGGTCAGCTTACCTAGTGACTGCACATCTGTGTTGTATTGTTCTCCCTGATTTAGTCTGCGGAGATTTGAGAGTGTCTACACTGTGTGCATTCCTGCTTTGGTGTTTCTATTCAGCTTCACGCTGAAGGAAGCCTGTCCGAATGTTCAGAGAGCGTGAACGCGTGCAAGCACAGCTTGGTGTACCCTACGCAAGTCTCCTGCAGCCTGCACCCGCCCATCGACGTGGTTACCAAGTCCACACAGGTAACCGCTACCTCGATCGTAGTACAGCAGTCGCAGTCCGTCAACAGCACCGGGCGTGTGAAGTTTGTGGTTGTGACTTGCTGTGGCACTCCGTCGCCGGCAGACTACACATGTCAGGTAAATTGTAAATCAATTTGGGTGATTGAACTATAGATATGGTGATTCTCATGGTGGAAATGTGCGCACTGGATTATAGCCGGACGAAATGGATTCTCGGATACTGAGCCAGTAGTAAATGTATTAAGAAAAAGAGAAGAAAACACATGAGAACGAGTTATGCAGCAACTATCCACGGTTGTAACAAGATGATAAAAAGTCAGAAAGTGCGATAATAGGGCACAAAACTGACAGGCTACTGAGAAAATGGATTATCCGCACTGAATGGAGTATGCGCACTGAATGGAGTATGCGCACTGAATGGATTATGCGCACTGAATGGAGTATGCGGGCAGAATGGAATATCAGATACTTGTCTAACTACAACACATTGCCATTTGAGACAATAATGATGGTGTAGGAAGTGCGTCCCACGATACTAGAATACACTCTCAGTCTCACAGCTATCATAGAAAACACATTCTTGCTCATCAGTCTCTCAAACAACAACGACATCGTCACGTGCGTCAAATCCCGCATGCACACACTGACTCAGAACATAGTACAGTACTACAGATGGTATTGTTTGTTCTTTTCTTTCAGGCTTTTCTGGATGTTCGCAACTTAGGCGGTACGCATTTGAGTGTCGATGAGTTTGGGTTACCCCGGTTCTATCTGCTGTATTTCCTGGCACTGTGCATACTGCTTGGAGTATGGTGTGTTAACGCGTTGTACCACTGGAGGGTAAGAATGTTGTGTGTTTGTTGTACATGTGTGTGTGTACGTGTACGTGTGTGTGTGTGTGTGTGTGTGTGCGCGTGTGTGTGTACATGTGTACGTGTGTACGTGTGTACGTGTGTATGTGTGTACATGTGTGTGTGTGTGTGTGTGTGTGTGTGTGTGTGTATGTATGTGTGTGGTGTGTGAAAAAAAGAAAGAAAAAAATGGAAAAAATGAAAAATAGGGATTCTCTGGCCAGAAAAAGTCACTTCAATCAGCTGTGTGGTGGATACCAGGCTAAAAATAGTGGCTGTCAATTCATCAGCCTTGCAAGCTGTTGAATGGTGTAATCCCAGCACAAGTTGCTATGTCTAGCATAGCTGTTCGCTATCATCGCTTCCGCGATGGGCAGGTCTGAGGTCTGAGGTGGTGTGTGCGCGTGTGCGCGTGCATATGGGGGTATGTGTATGCTTGTGTATGCGTGTGTGTGTGGGTGTGTGTGGGTGTTTCTGTATGCATGTGTGTATGCATGCATGTCCAGGGGTGCACACATATCACTGCTATCTCGTACCGTAGGAAGGCCAAGTGACGTTCAGGTGTGACCAGTCTAAGCGCGGTGCTATATGCATGTGTATGTGTGCCGTGACCGGGTACTGTAGTCAGTAACCTAGCAGCATGCCAAGAGTCCTGCTGGACATTATGGCATTCTGAATAGTACATTCTTCCATTGGTGTGTTGTCCACTGTTATCTACATCTGCAGTTCAACAATCGTTTGCACACCGCCCTGACATTGCTGCTGTTTTTCCGCGTGGGAGAAGCGGCTGCACTCTACTGGAGCTGGCTAAGCATATCTAAATCAGGTATGTACGTGTTCGAGTATGCACATGGCTGTGTACCGGGATTATTTTAGTGGCGGTCAATTCATCAGCCTTGCAAGCTGCTGAGTGATGTAATCCCTGCTTAAGTTTGTTCACTATCATCGCTTCAGCAGTGGGCATGTGTAGAAGTGAAAGTACTTACAGTCAACTTTGCGTATAGCGACACTCGGCTGGGCATCAGAAAAGTGTCCTTATTCGCGAAGTGTCGTTATACCCGAATTCTCATTATATGTATACAGGTAGAATGGACTTTGCTCTGGGCATGGAGATTCTGTCGTTATTCGCGAATTGTCGTTATATCCGCAGTCGTTATTAGTGAAGTTGACTGTATATGGCTAAGTTGACTGTATATGGCTAAGTTGACTGTATATGGCTAAGTTGACTGTATATGGCTAAGTTGACTGTATATGGCTAAGTTGACTGTATATGGCTAAGTTGACTGTATATGGCTAAGTTGACTGTATATGGCTAAGTTGACTGTATATGGCTAAGTTGACTGTATATGGCTAATAATAGCAATGAAAAGTATGAATGCCGCAGACATCACCACGCAACATGACAATTTGTTCAAGGTTTGGTTTTGTGTGTTTCCAAAATCGATTTTCACGTTGCGATCATCAGTGGAAATACGCAACTAAAGAGATCAAGGGAAAAACAAAGGTTAAAAATCCAAAGAAGTGTGACACATGACGGGTAACTTGTGGTAAGTATTACAAAAAGTGAGAACTAAAATAAAGAGTAAGTGTGACAAACGGGCATGAACAGTGCAGAAACAACTCATGAACACGGGGTGCAAACTCACGAAAATAACCTAAGTGCTAACCTAAGTGAGCCACTTGGTCTACCAATTTGAGTGCCGGAATTGTGATAGCCGGTACGTTGGTAGGACCCTTCAACACCTGAGCGCACGTATCAAGCAGCATGTACCACTTCACATGCTGCAGGACGCAGCAAAAGCGAAGCGCCCGAAGCGGGGAAGACCACGCAAGAACCCGCTCCCTCTACCACCGACACAACCAGAGCAAGTCGAACACACGGTGCAGAGGAAGAGTGGTGGATCACTAAGCCAACCGAATGTGCCTTCTCCACCGTTGCCCTTGCCGCCGCCGGAGCCACCACCAGTGCCGTTGGTGGCTGGGGTTGGGGAGGAGTTGGCAACAACAACAGTACCGCCAATCACAGAAATTGAGCCCATTTCTTTGACACAGTATCCGGCTGTGCGGACACCGCAGCACCCTCCGGCGATTGATCCGTGGGTCCAGAGACCACGGAGGTCGACCGCCAATTATTCAACCGAAATATATGCTAGGAATGGCCAAGGCCCACGCGGAGCATCGAAGGAGACCGGAAGCCGGGGGCAAAACGGAACACAATCTCGGGACGTAGATGAGGTAAGGACAGTGGCACGGGACAGACGTAGGAAGGAGAACATGGATGGTATCAGACGACTGACTGGTGGTGAATATGAGTTGGGTGATGATGCGGCGGATGACGAGAATACAGATGACGACGAGGCGGATGACGGCGAGGATACAGATGACGACGAGGCGGGTGATGACGAGGCGGCGGATGAAGACGAGGCGGATGACGGTGAGACGGCTGGTGGTGATGGTGATAAAACGGACGAGGAGGAGTCAGGTGGCAGGGAAGGTGATGGAGCTGATGAGGGTGAAATTCGTAAGAAGTCAGCTGTGTATTTGCATTTGTTATCTCGTCCCGATTGTTTGAGTGTGTATGATGATTCCCACTTCTCTGTACTGTGTCGTGCCCGTTATGTCCAGCAGTTGAAGGTCCTTGAAGCTGTTTGTATTCGTACGCATAAGCCCGATTTGTGTAAGCAAAAAGAACATGTTTTAGCACTTAGGTTATTTTCGTGAGTTTGCACCCCGTGTTCATGAGTTGTTTCTGCACTGTTCATGCCCGTTTGTCACACTTACTCTTTATTTTAGTTCTCACTTTTTGTAATACTTACCACAAGTTACCCGTCATGTGTCACACTTCTTTGGATTTTTAACCTTTGTTTTTCCCTTGATCTCTTTAGTTGCGTATTTCCACTGATGATCGCAACGTGAAAATCGATTTTGGAAACACACAAAACCAAACCTTGAACAAATTGTCATGTTGCGTGGTGATGTCTGCGGCATTCATACTTTTCATTGCTATTATTAAACTTTTATCTCCACGTAGATTATTTGTATATGGCTAAGTTGACTGTATATGGCTAAGTTGACTGTATATGGCTAAGTTGACTGTATATGGCTAAGTTGACTGTATATGGCTAAGTTGACTGTATATGGCTAAGTTGACTGTATATGGCTAAGTTGACTGTATATGGCTAAGTTGACTGTATATGGCTAAGTTGACTGTATATGGCTAAGTTGACTGTATATGGCTAAGTTGACTGTATATGGCTAAGTTGACTGTATATGGCTAAGTTGACTGTATATGGCTAAGTTGACTGTATATGGCTAAGTTGACTGTATATGGCTAAGTTGACTGTATATGGCTAAGTTGACTGTATATGGCTAAGTTGACTGTATATGACTGTTGACTGTATATGACTATGTTGACTGTATATGGCTATGTATAGTGTATGTGACTGTAACCATGCTCTCTCATCTCTTGCCCACCTTGTTTTGCTCTTGGATTATTTCCCCTTCCCATTCCTCTGATTACTAGTACATGCAGCACCAGTATCTTTTGGACTGGTTATCATTGAAAAGAGGAAGTCACAACAGACTAAGTATTTTGGAGTGTAGTTTCGCTCCCCTTCACTCCTCCGTGTTCTAGTCTTGCCTGTCCCACTGCGCTTGACAACACCATAGCGAGTATAATTCCGTTGAAGAACTACGACCGGTATTGACAGACACTGCAGACAGCTGTTTTTCCAGCTCCTTGAGAGCTCTTCAGTGTAGGCAGATAAAGTGATAATCATCAGCGGCACAGAAAACAAATCGAAACATGCTGATAGGTTATCACGGCAAGGTTTTGCCTATGAGGCATATAGGTCCCGGTATAGACATGTGGGCATTACAATGGGGTTCTTGCTCTTCTTATATCCACGGAATGTTGACTGTGTTGCCGCTGTGTGTGTACGTTGTATTTGGATGCCTTCAGGCGTGGAATCGGTCCCAACCGACAGGGTGCGCTACGTTCTAGCGTCGTTGAAGTGGTCCTTCTATTTCCTGTTCCTGACGAGTGGCTCGTTTGGCATGGGTATTGCCGTGAAGACGCCCCGGCATATGTACCGGATAGTCTGTGAGTTTTGCTCCATGCATGCGTTTGGTCACGTCGTCAGTGGGTCTCCGTTCTTAAAACCTTCAGCTCTTGCTGGATGATTAAACACTCATGGGTCGTGTTTTCCGCATCCGTAGAAACGCCACCATCCGCTATGTATCAAGGCGCAGATGCAGCTCCTAAAGCGGTGGGATTAAAAAAGCGTATTTGCCTTGTAGGCAATTTCAAGGCGAGGGCCAGAGTCGCCTCCTTGGAGATAGGAAGGCTGAAAGGGGCTTGGGACCTTCTCTGGGTAGGTGAGGTTTTTTGTAGGAAAATGGGACTGCTATAGCGGCCAGTGGAGTGGATGGTGATGATTCTCTGGAGTAGGAACAGACTCGTGTTAATCTTTGTTCGATGACAATGACTCATGGTGAAACAACCTTACCCGAGTCTGTAAGCAGCACATTTGTTCCTGTATGACGTTGTAGGTTACACATGTACAGTGAACATAGTTCAGCTGTCCAAATCACTACCTTGACATTCAACAAAGAATGATGTTTCACCATCCGTGGTCCTCACCTATCCGGCGATACACTAGAATGTAGTGGTGACCAGTGGAGCATTGCATTGTCCTCACCTACAGCACTGTAGTGCTTGGTGAAACTATAGTGCTGCCGGGGCTTCAATGCAGCCGCCAACACACCCAATGACAATTCTGCATCTCACTGGCCAATACTGTTGTAATCGGTGTATTTATACTAAGACCGGACAATCCTCATTAATATTATTCGTATTTCACGCTCCTTCACCATAGCAATGAGAGCCAATCAAGTATAGAAGAGCGCGCATACATGTACTCCAGTGGTTCTCTAATTGTGTTCTAGTCTCCGTTCTTGTCTACTCAATAAACGAATAATCGGTCTACTCAATAAACGAATAATCGGACGATTCCTTTTGCAGCTCTCCTCATAGTAAGTGACATGGTGATCAACGCATTGGGTCTGGCATGCACTCTACATTGCAAACGATGTTCTACTTTGAACTGTATGTGTAGTAAGACATCACCAGCTAGCCAGGGACTCAGGGAAATAGAGGATAGGCAAGAAAACCCACTGACCGTTGATG